ATCATTGGAGGAACCTTTTGCATGCTAAGTACCATCCTCATCACTTTTTCTCACCACAGTTTGGAAGGAAAGCACCACATATCTAGATGTGAAGATAATTTGACTTGTTCTTATTGGAGAAATTAAAATTGAGACAGAACATAATTCAGTTTGTTTTAAAGTGGAAATGATGTAAGCAAATTGCTTAAACAAACAAAATACTGCCATATTCAAAATCTGAAATAAAGATGGAAAATGCTGGAATTCTTTTAATAGCATTTGTGGAGAGAGAAACCAGTTGGTTTTGGGTTGATCTTCCTTCAGAACTGCAAGGTGTTGGGCATAAACAACTTTTAAAGCAATTTGCCTTATACTTTGATCACAAGACTAAAGGACCTGAGTCAAAGCTTAGGAAATTTTGGAATTTCCTCTTGAGAGCATTGTGAGTATACTGACAGCACATGGACTGCAGTGGTTCAAAAAGGAAGATCATTACTACCTTCTCAAGGGCAACTGGAGACAGGGAATAAATGCTGGCTAGCCAGCGACATCTACATTTCATGATTGAAAAGAAAAAATTTCAGTAAACTGAAAATGAGGAATGTCAGATAATGTCACGTGCATGATATTTGCTCAACAAATTAGTGAATAAATGATTACTAATTTGGTAGAAGTCTAAAATTTGAAAATGACATGAAACGTTGACATGATAAAAGGAGGAAGATTATTATGTCAAAGTTTCAAATAGCGAATCAAATTCAGTGTTGAAATGTGTGAGGTGATGCTTTTTGGTAGGAAGCAAACCTATATTGTCTGGCAAAATGTTTCAATTTTAAGGATGTTTAGAGATGCTGAAACTGCTACAGGCAAATTTTTCGATGTGTTTGCACTGCCTGTGACATCAGTGCTAGTGAATGAAGAGCCCTGATCATTAAAATACAGCAGATTTACGGAATTCTCTGTGGCTTAGAGTGCCAGGTTGCCTGAATAGCAACAACCTAAGTAGCAGTCAGTAAATTCTGTTTGAAGTTATGCTTGCTGTATGTTATTTCTTAGACTGCACGTGTCCACAAGCTTACGTTATATTAATTTCAACATTAGAATTGTACAAAAGCTGATTTTGGTGTGAAAAAGAGATTACTGTGCAGCATTACTTTGCTTCCATGAAATAACTAGCCTTCACCATTGCTAGACAGATCACAACTTGCAATGATGAGAGACTGAAAAGCTGTGGTGCAGACTAGTGAGAACTTGGGGTGGTGGAGCAAAGTTCCAGCAGTGGAAACAGAATGTGCTAGAAAAAGTGACTTGAGTGTAGGAGTTGGGAGGTCATGTTGCAGCTGTACAGGACATAGGACTTTTGGAATACTGTGTTCAGTTCTGGTCTCCCTGCTATAGGAAGGATGTTGTGAAACTTGAAAGAGTTCGGAAAAGATTTAAAATGATGTTGTCAGGGTCGGAGAGTTTAAGCTATAGGGAGAGGCTGATCAGGCTGGCACTATTTTCCCTGGAACGTTGGAGGCAGAGAAGTTTATAAAATAGAGAGGCGTGGATAAGGTAAATAGCCAGGGTCTTTTCCCCAGGGTAGGGGAGTCCAAAACTCGAGGGCATAGGTTTAAGGTGAGAGGGGAAAGATTTAAAAGGGACCTGAGGGGCAATTTTTTCATGCAGAGGGTGGTGTGTGTATAACTGAGCTGCCAGAGGAAGCGGTAGAGGCTGGTATAATTACAACATTTAAAAGGCATCCAGATGGGTATGTGAATAGCAAGGGTTTAGAGGGATAGCAAGAACTGCAGATGCTGGAGTCAGAGATAACAGTGTGGAGCTCGAGGAAACAGCAGGCCAGACAGCATCAGAGGAGCAGGAAAGTTGACGTTTTGAGTCGGGACCCTTCATAGGGATATGGGTCAAATGCTGGCAAATGCGACTAGATTTAACTAGTATATCTGGTCGGCTTGGACAAGTTGCACCAAAGGGTCTGTTTCCATGCTGTACAGCTCTATGACTTTATAAATGATGTCACCACTTGTGGGCACACACCAGTAATGGCTGAGAGAGAAAACATATATGTACTGATAGATGCAGTTTGATTTGAGTGTGTACATATAATTGTTCTGGAAACAGCTCAGTTGGTGTCGGGTTACAGTGCTGTTTTAACAGGATGCAAGAATAGTGAGATCTGAGATGGATCTTTGTAGGCAAAGGATTAACAAAGTTAGTAAAATACATTGGCTTTCTAAAAAGTGGCACTGAGTACAAAGGCCAGAAAGCTATGCTAAACCTGATTTTTTTTTTTTTTTTTTTTTAAAAAAATGTTTCGCACCAGATGGACTATTGCATCCAATTCTGAGGACTGTATGTTAGGAAGGCTGTGAGGTCTTTGGAGGAGATATAGAATTGACTCACCACAATGATTCTAATGAATTCAATAGATGAAGGGTTTCAGCCCGAAATGTTGACTTCCCAGTTCCTTGGATGCTGTCTGACCTGCTGTGCTTTTCCAGTTCCACATTTATTGATTCTAGCTTCCAGCATCTGCAGTCCTTACTGTCTCCAAGTCACTGAGAACCATACTGTGAAGTCTTTTCTAAGGATGTCCACCTTGAAGTTTCTTTCCTCTCTCTGAAGAGAGCTCAGTGAGTCTCTCTCCCACTGCAACTTCCTGGTTATCTCCTCTGCCCTGAAACTCTTCAACCATGTTCTGAAAGAATCCTGCTACTACAGCCATGGCTCTGCCCGGTTCTGACAAAGGGTTTCGGCCCAAAACGTTGACTTCCCTTCTCCTTGGATGCTGTCTGACCTGCTGTGCTTTTTCAGCTCTGCATTTATTGACTCTAGCTTCCAGCATCTGCAGTCCTTACTGTCTCCAGGTCTAGAGACAGTTGTGTTTTCCTTAGAATGAAACAAGAGATTTGGTAGAAATTTTTAAAATCATGAAGATAGAGTAAATGGAGAGAAACTGCCAATGACTTGAGGGGCTGATAAACAGAGGACACAGATTCAAGGTGATTGTTAGAAGAACCAGAGACCTGATGCAATGAGTGGTCAGGGTTTTCAATATTAACGTCTGATGAGGTAGCAGTAACTGATTCAATATAAGCTTTTCAAAGGAAACTGAAGAAAATAGAATAAAAGCAATATTGGGCAAGAGCAAGAAAGTGAGATTAATTGATTGGCTTTTCGCAGGAGCCAGCACTGATTTAATTAATTTAATAAGGCTGCCCTTAATTCCCACTGTTCCTTCCTGGTCATGATAGACATCCTGACTCCTTATTCATTCCAACATGATGTGAGAACTAGTAATTCTTGAAACAATCCAAAAGGCTATTTGTAATTATTCACATTTCTCGAGGGTAAAAGGCACACTATGCATTAAATGTGTTTTATTTTCATAATAATCAAATGATTCAGATCAAGATGTGTTTGGACGCAATGAACACTAGTGAGGTGGGGGATAATGTATATTGCCGGCCCTTAGTTTTTGGACTTTATTTGACAGTGTCAGAGGAATGGAAGTCGAATATTGTGGTCTACTCCCTAATAACTCGTGCTCAGTCAGCTGCATTAACTCCCTGTCCATAAATACTTCAGCTTTACAATACCCATCCTCCCTTTCAAACCTCTGTCTTGCCTTATCCTCCCTATCTCTGTAACCTTTTTCAGTCTTGCATTCTGCTGCGAAATGTGTTCCTCCAACTCTGGCTTGTTGTGCATCTACCACTTTCTTCATCGAATCATTGACTGCTGTACTTTCCACTCCCTAGACCTTAAGGTATCAATGTCAAATCTTTTCACTTGTCTGTTGCCCTCTATCTTCCTTTTGGCAATGCTCCCCCAAAACCAACCTCTTTGACCAAGCTTTCAGTGGCCCACCCCACATTTCCTTTGGCTCAGTGTCATTTCTTTGTCTGATCATGCTCCTGTGGCATGTACGAGGGCATTGCACTCTCTTAACTACATTGAATCATAGTCATACAGGATAGAAACAGGCCCTTCAGCCCAACTTGTCTATGTCGATCAGGTTTCTGAAACTGAACTAATCCTGTTTGCCTGTGTTTGATATGACACATATTCAAGTTGTTGAATCTAGAGTGCGACCTCTTGTAACACAGTGGTAGTGCCCCTACCCCTGCATCAGGTGGCTCGGATTCAATCCCAGCTGCTCCAGAGGTGTGCAATAACATCTCTGAACAGGTTGATTAGGAAATAAACAAAAACAAAGACAAAGTTTTTACATAAACCGTACTGATGGTATGCTATGGCATTTGTAAGAAACCTTCCTGACTTCTCTCAGCTTTAGCAGCAACCTATACCACTTGCTGATACTTAAATTTGTATATGAAGGATGGGGAAGTATGTAGAATAATGTTTATGCTCTTGTTTATGTTGCTTTGTAATTCTCATAGATACTAGTTCAAAGTCGCCAACAAATATACAAGTATAAAAATATGCACCATTCTTCACAGCATGTCATTTGTATACTTGACTGGCTGTTTTAATTTTATTTCTGGTGCTAGCTTTACTAACCAGACAGATCCCATGTTTGCAATATCATGGGATTAGGAGAGTTCTTCCTTATCCATTAGGGAATAGCAATTGTTGATTTTTAAAAAAAAAAAAACCAGTAATGATTTGATTAAAAATGTGTATAAATATGTTCATTTTGATTATCAATATTCATTGAGTCAAAGTCCATGCCCTAAAAAAGCGACAGTTGAACTATTGAATATCTCCTAGATATTTCATATTACTTCATATCTAATTGTCCATTTAATTGTGAAAACCGTGTATGCTTTATTGTGGAAATACTGTCCACACTTCAAGAATAGTGACTTGATCTATTTGGAGCAGATCTGCATCCTAAAAAAATGACTAGTAAAATGCAATTCTTGATTTGGGTTAGTTGCTGTTTCAAGTGGAAGTCTTTGTTCCTAGCTTGCAAGATTTCCGTGTCAAAATCAAATTCTGAATGCTTGCTTATTAAACAAATCTTTTGATTTTGGTTTGTCTTTTGAATCCAGGATGGGGAGACTCTGAAGGGACCCCCTCAGAGAGGGGAATGACCGTAGATGCTGTCTACACTTACAACTGGTTGAAAGCAAGGAGTGGTAAGAGTTCAGTCTACATCTGGGGCCATTCACTAGGCACTGGGTAAGTGAGTAAATATGACAATCTCACTTATTTCATGGAGATATTACTGGCTATCTGTAGTTGTTTTATTTTTATTAAAATGGTTAAATAATCTGAACCATAGGTAAATATCTGAAAGGCAGCAAGATATTTTCAGACTTTCCATCTCTGTAAACTTATCAAGGAAACTGAGAGATGGAAATTTTTACTGGCATATTTCACAAATTCAAAATGTCTTGAGAGAGAGGTTGCATATGAAAGGATTGGACTGCATTAGACTTTCTTGCATCAACTATTGTTAGTCACCTCAGATGCTGGGAATTCTGCAGTGAGTAAATACCTCCTGACTCTTTGAAGCCCATCCACAGTTAACAAGGCACAAATTAGGAATATGATGGAATGCTCTTCACTTGTCCAGATTAGTGAAGCATCAACAACAGCGAAGATGCTTGGTACCATCCAGGACAAAGTAGCCCCACTTGATTGGCACCCGATCCACTGCCTTAAATGTTCACTTCCTCCACTACAGATGCGCAGTGGCAGTAGTATGTGCTATCTACAAGATGCACTACAACCCACCAAAGCTTCTTTGACAGTGTCTTCCAAACCCGCAATCTTTATCATCTAGAAGCACAAGGGTAACACCACCTGCAAACACCACCTGCAAGTTTCCTTCCAAGCCACTCACCATTCTGACTTGGGACTGCATTGCTTTTTTTTTTCCACTAGCGCTGGATCAAAACCCTAGAAATCCCTTTCAAATAGCTCTGTGGGTGAATCTACAGCAAAGAGATTGTGGCTGTTCAAGAAGGCAGCTCTCCACCACCACCACGTAGAAGGCAATTAAAGAATAGGCATCACTGACTAACTCGGCAATTATTACCTATGTCCCATGAACTTATAAATTCTTTAAAAAGCCAAAATCACATCAGTGCCATCTTAATCGAGGAATTATGTAGGTTCATTAGTCTTGCTATTTTTCTAAAAAATCTGTTATAACATGTTTGTTATAGTTGCGAAGTGGCCTATTACGACTACAGGGGAAATATTCTGTTTCCAGCTGCTGCTATACAATTTAAATGGGAAAGAGTACAGTTTTAAACATCTGGAATTCACTGGCTGAGGGTTCTAGAAGCACAGTCAATGGCAACCTTCAGAAGGGGATGATAAAATATTTGAAAATAAAGCATTTGCAGGACTGTAGAATGAACAAGGGAGTAAACTTCATTGAATAACTCCATCAAAATGCCAGCCTGGGTATGATTAGCCTGTGCTGCTCTACTAATAAGAAAATGTGAGAGAACCTGAGATCAGTTTTGAATTGGACAAAACAGAATGCTTTTTAATCCTAATTTAAAAACTATGAATATTTCTATCTTGTCACTGTCTGAAAAGTGCTCTGACAGCTTTGTGACTTCTTACTTTGTGAACTATATGCTCTGTTCCCCCTTCTGCATTCCTTCAGTATGTTAGGGTGCCATAAAAATAACAAATTATAAATTGGCAAGATGTATTTTTGCAACAGTATAAATGATGTTAATTTAGTCTTTTGAGTTCACATATGCAGCCGAACAATGGGTTTAATGGTAAACAATTGTGTCAAGTACTTCATTTTTACTAATCTGCACATACAATACTGTCTTGCCTAAAAATGTTAGAATGCTAAAGTAATGTACAAGATCTAATTTGAAAGCTTTTGAAAATTCAGGCTGGAGCATCTGGATGTCTCTAGCAGGCTGAGCATTTTATTGCCACCCCTGGTTGCTGTTGAGAAGCAGGAAATGGGCTTGAGCTGCTGCCATCCTGTGGTAAAGGTCCACCTCACTCACTAGATATGAAATTCCAAACTTTTGGCCATGCCACAGTGTGTCTTGGAGGGAAGCTTGGAGGTGTTTCTTTCTAATTGTGGCCATTGTTCTTCAAGGTGGTAAAGTTTGGCATACCCTCAGTCCTCATTTCCTGTGAAGGATAGAGGAATGGACTTCCCGCGGATAACAAAACAGCAGATACCACTCTAATGTGCTGCAAAGGACTTTGTGATTGGTTTACCAGGCAGACCAGACCAGACGAGTGAAAAAAGGGTGTGGCCTGTGTCTGGCCTTGCAAGTACATGAATCAATGGGTAGAAAATCAGTGGATAATGAGGCCAGACTTATTCATTTGCACAGTGCAGTCTTTGTTCAGAAATTATCAGCACAATAATGATTTCCAAGTTGCATTGTTGCGATTCCCAGGCACAATGCTACATTCCCTTATGCTACAGTGCCTCAACTTAGCGTCACACTACCTGTCTGAGTCAAATTCATCCCACGTTTCAGCTAGGTTACTTGATAATACCAATTTACTTTGTAACATTATTGTGAATTGGTTACTTCCTTTTGCTAGGTGCATTTGTGGGTATCAGTTATTTCGTGTGCATATTGCCTCATTGCTGAAAATAATGGAGAGGGGCAGATTAGGGATTTATTCCCTACAAACCAGTTTGAGGTGTAGATGACCATAGTGGGAAATGAATGAGAGAAACTAGGCAAAGAACTGTAAATAATCTGATTGTACCACTTATCTTTTTTAAAAACCTATTTTCAGTATTGTGATATTTGATAGAGATTTTGTATATCTTAATGCAGTGTTGTCTCAGTCAGCACAACAGAACTAAGCATGCATTTGATAGGTATGAGAACCTAATATTAAACTCATCTGTGAGAAAAGAGCTGCAGCCAATAATTATTGAAACTCAAGGTTAAACTATGTTTGTTACATTGTGAAATGGACATGCTGAGTATTTCAGTTTCCAGCAAATGCGTGTGGAGACAGAAGCAGTTAATGTTTCATGTCGATTATTCTTTATGCCACAAGTCCTCTACTCCCAGCACTAATGATAGCACTCCTGCCTATAAGCCAGAAGCTCTGGCCAAGGAAGGTGTATTCATATATTACCAAACATTTTGAGTGTGAACTTGTTTAATCCTTCAACATGCCAAGATTTCTGGTCAGTAATGTGATGGAAACAAATTGGAGCATTTACCAACCCTATTCACAGCTCCAGGCTACATTATAAATGGAGATAGCAAGAACTGCAGATGTAAAAGTATATGTTGCCACAATGACCCTGATACTTTGGGAGCTAGTAGCTAAGTTGGTTGGAATGACAGGTGTGAATAAGAATGGTACCAACAGCACATGGTTTCAATCCCATTTTAGGAGGTTGTGGGTTCTGCGTCCTTGCATTACCTGTGGTGGACAACTTATTGCTTTAAATTGGACGAATTCAGGATAAACTTGGAAATTTAACACATTTTAAGCAAGGTAACTTGAAACCAAAAATGGAAGTCTTCTACAGGCAGTTGAAGAATGCAACAATTGAGGAGTGGAGATATTAACTGAGGACCTATCCCTTAGGCACATGCTAGCACTTGTATCAGGGAAAGAGCCAGGGAGTGAAGGAAATGACCAAAACCAAGGTCAGCAACGTGGCAGAGGAGATTAAATAACAAAAGCGAGGCCAGAGAAAATGCTAATGAAATAAGGAAAGGAGCAAAAGATCTATCTAGCGGAGGTGTAAATGGCAAAAGCAAAACATATGGCAATCAGCTGTCATGCAAAAAAAATCCCATTTTCTTTTACCGCCATCTCTTTGTAATTTATTCACTCCTGCCTTCAAACCAATCACAGACCTTTTTTTGATATTTCTTCCCTTCCCCCTTCCTTGCCTAGCTTAAAACATACTGCCCACATGCTTCCAGTTCTAAGGGCCATCCACCTGAAACACTGTTATTTCTCTTGCCACAGAATGCCAGACCTGCTGAGAATTTCCAGTATTTCTTTTTTTAAAGAGTTCAAACATCTACTGTATTTTGCTCTTTCCTTTTGTTACATTGTGCATTGGTCAACAAGTGATTTTGTCTTCTATTTATAAAATTGAATAATTAAGTAATTTAGTAAATGGGATGGTGCACACAAATGAAAATAGAATATCTGCTGTGTACTAACTCAAAGAAAAACATTCTGAATTCTTTTGGGTTCTGTTTAAACAATGTTGCATCATGCTGGAAATGGAAAATTTCTCATCTTTTTCAGAGTTGCTACAAATGTTGCACGTCATCTGTGTGTGAAAGGTAAAATGCTTCAACCAACTTATTGCTTATGTTCTTGCAGCTATCCTTTTACTTCTTATTAAAATCAAATTTATTACAACAATTAGAGATTAACCCTATGATTTCTTAAATAAGTTGATCGATCAATCCTACATACTATCAATCCTATTCAATTTGTTACAAAAATTAGTTTGCTAATGAAGTTCATAGTTGCAACATTCTTAAACCCATAGTCTGTGGAAGGTCCTAAAGTAGACACTGGCAACAGTAATCTCATATTTGACACCTCATGCCTCTGAATCAATGGTAGCTGCATGCAAAATCACAAGATACTCCTAAATAAGAAAGACCTGTTGTGGCTCATTGAGCAAGAGTGAATTTTCAGGAACTGTCCCACCATTGCAACATCCTATTGCCTCTTTTTAAAAAAAAAAAAAAAAAAAAAAAAATTCCTCTCAGTTGTTCTATCCAGGAATCCGTTCCATGCATTGATAAGTGCTTTTTTGAAAAATATAACAACTCTACACGTGCCTTTTGCTAATTTGAACCACTTGCCACCATTCTACTTGTTCATTTTTAAATTAATAATCCATCTTGAGTGGTAAATTCTGTGTATTTAACGTGATAATGATATTTTATTCAAGAGATGCATTTGAACCTGAAGGTTGATTTTTGAAGTGAAGCTTGGATTGGAAAGTTTATAGGCTAAGTAGTCAAGTTAAATCATGCAATCATTTAGCGGTCATGCACCTTTAATTGCTGATCAAAAGACTTGTAGAGCACGTATTTTTCAAAAAATCAAACTAAACTTCAGATGTAACTGTTTCCACTAAAGGTGCTGTAGCAGGTTCTGAATGTTGTCAGTGAATGTAGTATATTGTTTGCATCACAGCAACAATAGGAAGGTGGAAGAACAGTTGCCTTTTTAGAAAATAAATTCAATTCTGGTTGTATACCTGGGGATTAAAAAAGATTCTTCTAAAGAATTACATGGAACAAGCTTGTAGCACAAAATCAGACCGTTTAACTTAGCAGGTGCATGCCAATGTTATAATCCACATGAGCCTCTGTTCTATTTATTTAACCCATTCCCATCAACATTATTCTATTAATTTCTCCCACATACACTTACCTGTCATTACCTTAAATGCATCTATTCTAATGGCCTTAACCATCCATGTGGTAGCAAGTTCCTCTCTTTGAATAAAGAAGTTTCTCTGAATTCCTGATTGCATTTATTAATTGCTTCCTTGTATATGGCATGTAATTTTCAACTCCTCATATTAGGCTTCTAAACATCAAAAATATTGAGCCTATTCATAGTTTTTAAAGAAATTCATCAGACCATCCCGCTATCTTTTCCTTTCTAGAGAAAAAGCCTAGGTTCAGTCTTTCTTGATTGTTGAACACTTTCCTGATATCATCCTTGTAAATCTCTTTTCTTGCTTGTATGTAAAATTTGTAATATAGGTTACAATCAGAATATTGATCACCAATCAAGGTTTTATGAGCTGAAGTAAGAATCACAATGACCGAATTGTTATGGTGCAGGAGGCAGCCATTTGGTCCCTTGCGCCTACACTGGTTCCATTACCTTGTGCCAATCTCCTGCCTTTTCTTATATCCCTGCGCCCCATTTCTGTCCAAATAATAATCCAATGCCTAATAATGGTGTTTGCTTTAGAAGTCTTGTCCATTTGCAGTTTATGGTTCTTCTAAACTTGTTCTTTGAACAATGCTATATGTGATATTTCTTTGCCCAGAAATACATACTGGTCTGAAGTATTTAATACTGAAAGTACCGAAATGCAGCTGGTACTTGCTCCTTATGACCTGATTCACAACATAAAATTCTGCTTTTCCACTGCACCAATATCATGTGACAGGTTTATAATTGAAATCTGCCATTTTCAGCACCTATTCTAGTTGGACTTTAATGTTTTTTTATTTAATGACTTTTCCACAGAATTTAGGATGCATTTGGAAATCAATATTTACAATCACACTGCCAACTTAATGACCATAGATCATGGCATGTAAGTTGACCTGGTATATAAAACGGCCCAATTTTTTTCTGGTCCCAAACATTGTGTTTTAGCATATGCTTTATGCATAGGCCCACTCCCTTGTCAGCTGCAACACGCTTTAGTCACATTAGTCATCAGCCTCATTTTTTGTCCCTTACAAGTGAACACGAGGGTGTGAGCAAATGTCACTGGCTGTGTTGTGAAAATCCATGGGGTTTTAATATGTAACTACACAAAGCAGATCCTTTATGATGAGCAATGAAGAAAAATTAATATGCAGTTGGTTTCAAACAAAAAGTTGTAACATATGCTAACTCACCAAATTACCATACTGCAGTGAGGGAATTTGATGTGAGTAAAGAATTGATGTGAGAATTGAAGATGGAATCCACCCTGAGGAAGATGCCCAAGACTAAATGGACAGTGCGAACAAGCACTGATCACTGTCTTAAGCATGTAACGGAATGTGACAAAAACAAAGTTGCTAGAAAAACTCAGCAGGTCTGGCAGCATCTGTGAAGAGAAAAACAGAGTTAACGTTTCGGGTCCAGTGACCCTTCCTCAGAACGCTGCCAGACCTGCTGAGTTTTTCTAGCAACTTTGTTTTTGTTCGTGATTTACGGCATCTGCAGTTCTTTTAGCTTTTATTTATGTAACGAAATATGTCCTCACGTTGCTAGAATGATTACTGTCACCAGAAATGCATTGTCTTTATGTGCTTAAGTGAGCCAAATTAACCCCTCCTGGTAACAAACAGTTGGGGTATTTTCTTAAGGGAATTAACCTGTCTGGTATTTTGGAAAAGACTAAGGTTACTTGGAGACTATAGAATCATAGAATCCCTACAGTGTGGAAGCAGGCCATTCGGCCTATCAAGTCCACACCGACCCTCCAAAGAACATCCCACCCAGACCCACCCCCTACCCTAGACACTATGGGCAATTTAGAGTAGCCAGTCCACCTAATCCCCACGTCTTTGGACTGTGGGAGGAAACCGGAGCACCTGGAGGAAACCTGCTAAAGACCTCTATGCCAAAATGGAAAAAAGTGTATCTATGATGCCAAATTGGTAACATGGATAAAATGCATATGAATTTAGATATGACTGGCATCAAACTGTGAGATGGAAAGGTTTCAAAAACAGTTTTAGTGGAAATAGAGGGCTAGATTTGTGTTGGTACTTGACAGCATGACCTGAAAAATGAAGTTAAGGCCTATGGTAATTTTCAAATGTAAAATCATGCTGAAAATCTTTGCCATTAAAACTATCAGCTGTCATCAGGTCATACAGAGAAATGTGCATCTGGATGGAAAGGATGATTTATTGTTCAGGAATGATTCTGAAACCTAAATTGGCACATCTGATACTCCTGGTAGGATACTCATGGTGATACCATACCTAAAGTGAGTGGTGAACTCTTGTATTGGTGCCAAAGGCAATTAATTTTATGGATTTTAAATTTTTTTCATTGTGGTTGAAGATATATTTGTATAATTACATTTTTTCTCTAAGCTGCCACATTACTATGAATTACCATTTGTGTTTTTTCATATTTCAAAATGGCAGCAACTCACACTAATTCACATTTTATACTTGACATGAGTATCTTTTTATCTGTCTGTCAGTCACTCACCCGCACAACACAAAAGTTCTCTCTCTCCCCCTCTCTCTTGCCCTTGCCTTCGCTCTCTCGCGCTCTCCTCCCCTGCCCTGCCCCCATCATTTTTACAACAATCTTTAGATTCCTTAAAGTTTCACTTAAGCATCTTACAGGGTGCTGCAGGGCTGAGAGATGTATTTGCATCCAAGTTGACCATTGATAAGTTGAGAGTATTACCTCATGACAGTGAAGGTAATATACATTTTAAGTAGAGATCATTGACTAATTTATACTTTGAATCACGCTATTCAAAACTAGTACAGCATTCACAGTGTTCCTGGAAGTTCTACCAGAGTTTAGTCGTTCAGCTGTTTCAGAAGATTAAATAAGAGGAAGTTGTGATAAAGCAATTTGTATCTTCTACATTGGAGGAAATAGACTTGATGAATTCTAAAATTACTGTCCTTTGTTTTGGATTTAACTGTTATGATGAGTCAAATGTAAAATATAATTCTGCAAAGCTACTTAGTTTTTTCTGGCCACTTTACTGTCAGTTCCACTCCCAAGTTAGTGGAATATGTCAATTTTCAGCTAAATGATGTTGACCTCATTAATTTGGAGACCAGCAGTTACCTGGAGGTAGAGTGAGGTGAACTTCTTATTCTTGACCTTGTGGTTGAATATCACTGCATTAATGAAGAAAGCACCAGAAATCCACGTGTCCATGAAAGCAAATTATGAAAGTGTGCACAAGTACAAAACAAAAATCCAGAAGTCCAATCAAATTTGGCTTTTATCTCAAGTGAAATTTAGAAAATGATGCTTCAGGTGTACAAAGCCTTGACCAGACCCCATTTGCAGAACAGTTTACAGTTCTGGGCACTGAACCTCAGGAAAAATATTTTAATACTGTAAGCAATGTAGAATGATATGAAGACTTGTCAAAGGAATTAAATTACAATGACAGGTACTATAAACTTGATTTGTATTCTGTCAAGTTCAGTACAGTATGAAGAGTTGTCTAACTGAGGTCTTTAAAATAGTAGGTAACCTATTCTCTCTGACAAGGAATTCAGCAAAGGGATAGTATGCTAAAATGAAAGATATGCCAAGTAAGAATAAAATCGGGAAGCTGTTATTCTCGCAAAAGGTAATGGTAATGTTGACCATGCTCTTCCAAACTACTGTAGTGCTTGGTCAGTTGAGGTTTTAAAGACTGGGGTTATTAGATTTTTTTTTTGGATAAGGGCAAAGATGGACAAATAAAATTAAGATGCAGAGCATTCATAATCAAATTGAATGACCAGAAAGACACAAGGGCCTGAATGCCTGCATCTGTTTCTACTTATTTATTGGGTAGGGGTGAGGGGGTGAGTATAGAAGTGCAAATCACTTCAAATGCCATAATATATCTGTATGGTATAATGACAGCGGCAGCAGAAGGGCATCATGTAATATGTTGAACACTGAAAAAGACTTGTGACCCTGTTAACCAATCGCTTAAGTCTTCCCTTCTGTAATGTATAACATTAAGAAGTCTGAACTCCACTTTGTGACGATGTTGGTTTCACCAGGGTTGTGAGAAATATACAGCCAATAAATTTTATTTAGCTTTCAATATATTGTATAGCGTCTTTAAAATGCTATTTTTATATGGTTCTAATTTTGTTACGTATGGCTGTTTTTGATTCTTAGACACCCCTCCAGATGCCCTAATTCTAGAATCTCCTTTCACTAACATTCGGGAGGAAGCCAAAAGCCATCCTTTTTCACTGGTAGGTGGCCTGTTATTTTAAATATTGTGCTATATGATACTGCAGAGAAGAGCATGAAACTTCATTTTCTCTGCCATCAACAGAATAAATCACACCCTATTGTACCTCCTTGTATGAAAAACATTGTAAATGAAAGTTCTGCTGAATTCAGGTATACCTGTTCATAACAGTCTAACAACAATGTGCACTTATATTGTGTATTTAATGCAATGAAACATTCCAAGTTATTACTGTAACAAATTTGACATCTCACCCACATTAAAGTGTAATGACTGATCGAGGATATTTTTAAAGGAAATGATTGTGATAGAGACTCATTGAATTCAAAGTTTAATGTAAGAATTCTAAAGGCGCAGTTGCCAATGATTGTGCAAAGGAAATCAGGAATGCCTAAGAAGGCAAATATACGAGGTGACAGATGCTTTGTCCTGAGAATGCCCATCTGTGATTGTGGAAGGAAGAATCATCAGACCACTGAAGCTAAAATTGGATTGCATAATGTGTATCCAGCCACCTGTGCCATTTGATCACATCATTGTTTTAAGTGTTTTCTATCAAAATTGCTGAGTAATACCAAAGACTCAATGGTCTTTTCTACTCATATTTGTTACTTTGGTTCTGAAATAATGTTAGGTTGGTTTATGAAGTGACATTGAATAAACTGCTAAAACCATATAGGATCCTTGACTTTATAGAGTCATTGAGTACAAATGTAAGGAATTTCTGCAATTAATTTGTTATAAATTACTGGCTAGGCCTTAGTTAGAATATTGTGTCCGCTATTGGCCAAGATAAATGAATTGCTGCTCAGCAGAGCTGAAACCAATATTCTCTTGGGAAGGGTAACCACAGCCATAGAGGTGGATTTAATTTGATTTTGCAGGGGAAAAACAGTAAGATAGAATGTCAGAGAAGAAATAATGAGCAGAGAGGATTGGCAGGGACAAATTGCATTAGAATAAAGAACAGTATAGGAATAGAACTAAGGTAAAGTCACCATAGTCTTGCCACACCTTTGGGCTGTGCTCTCATTAGGGAGGGCTAACCTGAGGGTCACCATGCTTCAGGCAAGGGGAGAGGCTGAGAAAGAGAATTCTTTGGTGATCTCAGCCAATGGGGGAATTGAATCCACGCTGTTGGCGTCACTCTGAATTGCAAATCAGCCAACTGAGCTAAACTGCCCTCAGGAATAGGAACAACAGGAATAGGAGGGATCAGACAGTGGACAGTATGATGGGTATGGAATTCATGTATGCAAAAACACACCTTAGATAAGAGTTGCCAAATGGAACTACGATTTGGCAGCAATAAGTGACACCCATTTCAATGAAGGGGAAGATTGGGAAGGTGATATCTCTGGCTGAGATATTTGGAAATGATAGGTACAATCAGAGGGGTTGTGGCAATATTGATAAATTACCCCATTGCTGCGATATTGAGATTTTTTTGTTCAGTGTGGGTATTGGTGTCTGGTACAGCATTTGTTGTCTATCCCTAATTGCCCTAGAGTTACTGGTGATGAGCTGACTTCTTGAATCAAAGTAGTCCATCTGGTGTAGATATACCCAAATGCTTTTGGGGATCGAGTGCCAGGATTTTAACCCAGTGACAGTAAAGGAATGGTGATCGATTTACAAGTCAGGATGGTATGTGACTTCAAGAGTAATTTGATGGCAGTGATGTTCTTGTATAATTGCAGCCTTCATCCTTCTAGATGGTAGTGGTCATAGGTTTGGAATATACTTTCTAAGAACCCTTAGTGAATTTCTGCAGTGGGTCTTGAAAATGATATACTGTTGCTGTATTGGCAGTGGAGGGAGTAAATGTTGAAGGTCATGGACGTGGTGGCAATCAACAGGCTGCTTTATCCTGGATGAGGTAAAGCTTCTTGTGTTATTAGAACTACACTCATCCTGGCAAGTGCAGAGTATTCCATTACAGCCTTTGTAAGTGGTGGGCAGGCTTTGGGGAATCAGGAGGTGAGTTACTCCCTGCAGACTTCCCTGTCTATGACCTGCTTTATAACCAAAGTATTTACAAGGCCAATCCAATTCAGTTTCTGGTCAATGGTGGCCCTCAGGATGTTGATGGTTGGGGATTCAATGATAGTAATGCCACTTATTGTCAAAAGGCAATGGTTAGATTCTCTTTTGCTGGAAATGATCATTGCCTGGCACTAAGGTGACAAATGTTACTTGCCACTTGTTAGCCCATGCCTGCATATTGTCCAGATCTTGCTGCATTTGGATATGGGCTGTTTCAGAATATAAGGAGTTATAACGAGTTACGAATAATGTTGAACATTGTGCAATCATTATGGGTGGAAGGTCATTCACCGATGAAGCAACTGAAGGATGTTCACCTGAGGAATATGTGTAGTGGAGCTTAAGTGACTGACTTCCAATAATTACAACCATCTTTTTTGTGCTAGGTCTGACTCCAACCAGTAGAGAATTTTCATCCTAATTTCCATTGACTCCAGTTTTGCTAGTCCTCCTTGATGTCAAATGCAGCTTGATTGAAAGGGCGATCATCCTCCCCTCCCCTTTTGGAGTTTAGCTGTTTCAGTCTATATTTGAATCAAGGCTGTATTGAGGTCAGGAGCTGAGTGGTGCTTGGAGTTGGGGTTGGGGGGAGTAGCCTAAAATAAGTATCAGTAAGCTGAGTTTTGCTGAGCAAGGCTGCTTGATCGTACTGTTGATGATCGCATCCATCACTTTACTGATGATTGAGAGTAGACTGTTCCAGCTGTAATTGGCCAGGTTGGATTGTCCTGCTTGTATGGTGCACAGGATACATCTTGTCATTTTTCTCAGTTGCTGGATGGATGACAATTTTGTGGGAACTGCTTGACTAGGAATGCAGCACAAGCCTTCAGTACTATTGCTGGAATATTGTCAGGGTCCATAGCTATTGTAGTATCCTGTGCCTTGAGCTGTTTCTAGATATCATGGAGTGAACTGAATTGTATGAATGCTGGCATCTGTGATGCTGGGGACCTTTTGGAGGTTGAGATGGATCTTGATTGTAGCACATGCTTCAGCCATATCTTTTGCACTGATGTGCTGGGCTTTCCTGTCACTGGAATGAGGGATATTTGTTCAGCCACGTCCTCCACGGGGTTGAGTTGTCTGTCACCATTCACGACTAGATGGGACAGGACTGGAGAGCTTAGATCTGATTTTGTTGGTTGTGGAATCGCTTAGCTGTATCTGTCACTTGCATATTATGCTGTCCGGTATACAATTAGACCTGTACCGTAGTTACATCAGGTTGATACCTCATTTTTAGGTGGTGCTCCTAGTATGCTGTCTAGCACTGTTCATTGAATGAAGGTTGATCCCCTGGTTTGATGGTAATGGTAGTGAGGGGGATATGCTGGGCCATGAGGTAGCAGATTGTGTTGAAATACAATTCTGTTGCTGATGGCTTATGGTGTCTCATGGATCCTTATTCTTGAGTTGCTAGATCTGTTTGAAATCTATTTCATTTAGCATGGTTGTAATTTTGTTCAACATGCTATAGGTATTTTTTATTGTGAAGATGGGGCTTCATTTGCAAAAGGACTTGTGCAGTGGTCACTCTTACCGATACTGTAATGGACAGATGCATCTGCAGCAGACACATTGGGGAGGATGAAATCAAGTATGTTTTCCCTTTTATTCATTCCCTCACCACCTGTAGTAGCAAAAAGAAATCTCTCTCCTTGAAAAAGAAGAAACCTTCCAACCGACCAAACTACACTGATCTCTCTCAGTAAAGTATCTTCTGGGAACCTGAGAAAGTACCAGAAATCAATATCTTTAACTTTGTTAAACTCTGAAAGATGGACTCTGTTACTTCCATTCAAGGACCCAAGTCTAATTAGTTTTCCATCTGAACTGATGATCTAAAGATCTCCAAATCTAGTTGAACACATTCCAGGAGGGTCTATATATGATATCCCACATTCAGTTATGCTGCCTTCATTCTTCTGTCATTGGTCACCCAACATGTATATTTTCACTGAGCACCAGCTTCTAATGTTAATTAGAAAGGAACTGGACTCCTAGTTACATGATTGGATGATTTTTGACTATCACTTTCACGGGCCTTATTTTATATCTCCAATATATGAATAACTAATCAAAAGTTGTTTAAAGAAACTGAAAATAAAGTACACAGTGATCCTTTTTCTGGTTTGTCAAGGAAATTGATTTCAAGTCAATAGCCTGTAGCCACCTAGACCCTAAGCTCAGAAATTTGTTCCCTAAACTTCTCTACCACTCCTTTTAGGATGTTTTAATAAACCCTACTCTTTGGCCAAGCTTTTGGTCAACTTTCCTAATATCGTTTTATACACCCTGCTGTCAAATTCTGTCTTAGAATGCTCTAGTGTAACACCTTGGGATGTTTTATGTAAGTGGAATTTGTTATAATTGCTGAAGGCTCCACAATAATCCTATCTCTGCAATATTATTTGCAATATTTGATACCTTGACACAGAAAAGTACTGTAACCAACACTTAATTTGGGTTAAAAACCAAAAGAACTACGGATGCTGTAAATCAGGAACAAAAACAAAGTTGCTGGAAAAGCTCAGCAGGTCAAGCATCTGTGGAGGAGAAAAGAGTTAACGTTTCGGGTCCGGTGACCCTTCATCAGAACTGGGTTAGTTTGGGTTATGTTTCGTATATAACTTTTCTAAATATTAAAGAGATGTAACTGACTTTCACGAACAGTCAGCCTTGCATCTTTTCAGTCTTTGTCAGAGCAAATCACACTGAATCATACGTTAATATCTGTAATGAATCATTCATTGCTTTAATTTTGCAGCAGAGGTACCATTAGCTGTTGAAAGTGCTTAGTTCATGCTCCTGCACTTATTAGCTGTCTATCTTATTCCACCATGAATCTTGCATGATCACAGTAACTTTATTAGAAGTAATCATTTAATGGTAATAAAATATTTAGATTACTTGAGTTTCCTTGTTTGCTTTTGAATGGCAACAGATAGTAGCTATTAATTATTGCAGCTATGAACCTAGATCAGTAGATGAAGCAGTGAGGAAAGTAGTTAAGAGATTTGAAATGGTATGGTCATCTGTGGTGGACGGGGACAGGGACGGGGGCATTAGGCAAGTGCTGAAGTTGGGACTGCCAGGAAGAAGGAGGAGAGGAAGGCCGAAGGTCAGATGGGAAGCTGCAGTAAATGAGAAACTTAAATGTTGTGGGATTAGATAAGGAATGGGTGACTGAGGGGAAAAGGACAATTAACCAGCATTGTGGCAATTCCAAGTAGAATTGGAGAAACAGAAAAATGTTGAAAATAGTGTTCAAATCTTTGCGAGACAGCTTTCTAATATTGTGAAGGAAATTGATTTCTGATTTTGGGGAAATTCCTTTTTTTGGAATGGAGGGTTGTGATCAGTGGTGTTCTGCAAGGATCACTGCTGGGACCTTTGCTGTTCAGGATCGACATAAATGATTTGGAGGAAAACATAGCTGGTCTAATTAGCATGTTTGCAGATGATACAAAGATTGGTGGAGTTGTGGATAGTGAGGATGATTGTCAGAGGATACAGCAGGATATAGACCAGTTGGAAGCATGGGCAGGAAAATGGCAGATGGAGTTTAATCCAGACAAATGTGAGGCGATGCATTTTGGAAGGTCAGGTACAGGTGGTAATTATAGTGAATGGCAGAGCCCTTAGGAGTTATTGATGTGCAGAGGGATCTGGGTGTTCAGGTCATCTGAAGGTGGCAGCGTAGGTGGATAAGGTGGTTATGAAAAGCTTATGGCATGATTGCCTTCATTGGAAGGGGCATTGAGTATAAGGATAGCCAAGTTATGCTGTAGCTTTATAGAACTTTAGTTAGACCACACTTGGAATATTGTTTACAGTTCTGGTCACCACACCACCAGAAGAATGTGGATGCTTTGGAGACGATACAGAAAAGATTTACCAGAATGTTGCCTTGCATGGGGCATTTTAGCTAGGAAGAAAGGTTCGGCAGACTGGGCTTGTTTTCACTGGAACACGGGAAGTTGAGGGGTGACCTGATAAAAATTTTTAAGATTGTGAATGGCATAGATAGAGTGGAAGGTATGAGGCTTTTCCTCCAGGGTGGAGGGGTCAATTACTATTATTTGATTTATTGATTGATTGATTTATTTATTGTCATGTGTACCAAAATACAGTGAAAATCTTTGTTTAGGGGGAGTTTGAGATATGCGAGACAAATTTTTCACACAATGGGCGGTGCATGCCTGGAATGCACTGCCAAAGGAGGTGGTGGAAGCAGACACAATAACAGCATTCAAGAAGCACCTGGACAAATACATGAATAGGAAGGGAATAGAGGGATACGAATCCTGTGAATGAAGACAGTTTTAATATGGAAGGACAAAATGTGTCAGCATGGGCTGTTCTGTATTGTTCTTTGTACAAGACAGTTTTGAACCACCTGGTGGGGGGGTAAAGAAAAGTCAAAATTTGCAGTGTGCTGAAATACCATATATGTAATCTACATTGTAGTTGTGAGCTTGTTGAAATTGTTATTCTGATTGAGAGAGAGCAATTACGGAGTGAGAAGTAAAATATCCTTCCAGTCTCCCAACCATCAACACTGCTTTTCTTATTGACAGACATGTTAGAATGGCATCACTGCTTTTTTAAAAAAAGCATTAATGGTATGTGGGTGTTGCTGGTTAGGCCAACATTTATTGCTCATCCTTAATTGCCCAGAGACCAGGTAAGAGTTAACCACATTCCTGTGGGTCTAGAGTCACATGTAAGCCAGACCAGGAAAGGACAGCAGATTTCTTTCCTTAAAGGACATGAAAGAACCAGATGGGTTTTTCCTGGTAATCGGCAACTGTTTCATAGTCCTCATTAGACTCTTAATTCCAGATGATTATTGAATTCAAATTCTATAGCAAAATTTTGAACATGGCTCCCCAGAACATTGTCTGAGTCTCTGGATGGATAGTCCAGTGATAATACTACCAGACCATCGCCTCGCCCTATTGATCTGTTCTGTTGCCATACGCTATGTTCCTCTGAGATTATGCATGATTTTATTTTAAAACGGAATTGGTGTTTTGATTATCTGTTGAATAATGTTATTGCTTCTTGGGCAGTGTAAAGACCTCCAATATGTTACAGATATAATTGAATTTGATTCTTTTCTTGCCAAAGTCAGAAAACTGTGGATTTAAACAACATCTCAGGATTTGAGGGCAAAATCTAGATTGCTGAGAGCAGTGTAATATTTGAGGTGATAATTGTGTGTCACAGGTGTTAACTTTCTGTATAGATTAATCAAAGCCTCATTTTCTTGTCATAGAGTCAGAGTTGTACAGCACAGAAACAGACCCTTTGGCCCAACTGGTTCATGTTGACCAGATAGCCTAAATTAATCCAGTCCCATTTGCCAGCATTTGGCCAGTATCCCTCTAAACCTTTCTTATTCATGTACCCACCTAGATGCCTTTTTAAATATTGTAATTGTACCAGTCTCCACCATTTCTGCTGGCAGCTCATCCCATGCACGCGCCACCCTTTGCGTGAAAAAGTTGCCCTTCAGGTGCCTTTTAAATCTTACCCCTGTCACCTTAAACTTCTACTTCTGGACTCACCTACCCTGAGAAAAAGACCCTGGCTATTCACCCTATCCGTGCCTCTTATGGTATTATAAACCTCTGTAAAGTCACTCCTCAGCGTCCTCAGGGAAAATAGCTTGTTATTTTATAACCTTGCTATCATGCAGAACCTTATCAAAGTCCGTGTAGACTACATCCACCACTCTGCCTTCATCAATCTTCTTTGTCACTGTCCCAGTATTCAGGTGGAAAACAAAAATATTAAGCCATTATTTGAAGAAAGACCAGAACAACAATCGTTTTTCAAATAACAATATCAAATATACTTGCAAACTTGCTTTTTAAGAATTTATTCTTAAGATGTGAGTAACACTGGTGAGGCCTGAGTTTTTCAACTGTTGTATTTGCGAGACATAAACCAGCAAAACCTCAAGCCTGAAGTTCTTGATGTTCTGAGATCTGTCAGAATATCATGAATGTGAGCTGTTATTCCTTCTGATTGATCTTTACTGAGCTTGTGTTGAGAAGCAGCCAATCACATACATGATTCAGCAATTTTTTAACCATTATCTTGACATGCAGGGTGATGCTCCAGAGCTTCTAGGCCTGATCCTGTGTTCCAACCATGCTCTCATTGCCCAAGTATTTTCACATGTTTTGGTGTTGTTTCTTAGTATTATGTATATTCATCTGAAGCCAGTTGTTGTCTGTAAACTGTTTTGGCATCTTCTTGGTTTAAACTGATTGATTGTTCAATGGATTATATTTTGTATGTGTATGCATTTGATATTAAATGTAAATTAGTATACAAGTATTTTGATTTTGAGCTCAAAGCTAATGATGTAAGATTTGTGCAATGAATCTTTCCAGTCTGATTCTTTCTACTGTTTGCCCTGAGTATTTGCATTGTGCTCTGGATTCCTTGTTTCCCTGTAGGGTCTTTCACTTTGACTCCTGCAGAAATAAAAGTTAATGTTTAAGTATTTCGTGCAACAGCCCCAAAAAAAGTTGGGAGAGGGGAATTGGTTGTACAAGCTCATCCAAAGGGGAAGCAATGGTAATAGTGCTGGACTATTAATCCAGAGTTCCAGGTAATGTTCTGGGGACCAGGGTTTGAATCCCACCATGGCAGCTGCTGAAATTTGAATTCAATAAAAATTAAGAGTCTAATGATAACCATGAATCCATTGTTGATTGTTGAGTAAACCCATCTGGTTCATTAATGTCCTTTTACGAAAAGAAACTGCTAACCTTACCCGATCTAGCTAATCATAGAACAGAATCATAGAATCCCTATAGTGTGGAAACAGGCCTTGTGACCCAACAAGACCACCCCAACCCTTGGAGCATCCCCCTATAACCCACCTAATCTACACATCCCTGAACACTAGGGGCAATTTAGCATGGCCAATCCACCTGGCCTGCACATCTTTGGACTGTGGGAGGAAACCCACGCAGACATGGGGAGAATGTGCAAACTCCACACAGGCAGTCACCCAAGGGCGGAATTGAACCTGGGACCCTGGTGCTGTGAGGCAGCAGTGCTAACCACTGAGCCACCATTAATAATTGACTCTAGACTCTCAGCAGTGTGGCTGATTCTCAATTGCCCTCTGGGCAATAAATTCTGGCCTGATGCCCTCATTCCGTGAATAAATTTTTAAAAAAGTGATCATTCTGAAGCTGGGAAATGATAATACAATTATTGGAAATGAAGAGGGGAGGAGGGGAAGAGCAAAGTAAACCAGAATGCAGAAATTTGGAGATGATAAAAACTAGATGAATCTTGGTCCAGCAGCCTAGCATTCGCTTGTATCGACAGTGATCGTTCCGTTGGACTCATCATGGCAATCAACCTCTTCCAAATGATGTAGAAAGAGTAAGTGCTTGGACAATACCAGAAGATAATGGAACATTCAGAGATTGCAGTTCAGCATTCTCACCTTTTTTTTTATTGATTTGTTGCTGTTTCAGATCTATAGATACCTACCTGGCTTTGACTGGTTCTTCCTAGATCCAATCACTGAGAGTGGCATTATATTCCCAAGTGATGAGAAGTAAGTTAGTTTTTTTAAAAAGCATTTTAATGCAATAGTTGTATTTCTTTTACAGTTAATTATTTGGCCGTTTGTACCACTGTGGAATTTCTATGCATGTTTATATATAATGTGAGCTTCCATCGTAACCAGTCTGATTTTAATTGATGTGCTGCAATGTTGAAACAATTAGTATTGATGGGAAACTATTACATTTAGCATCAGCTGTGGCTCTTGTTCACAGCACTCACCTTTTAAATCAAGTTTGTGGACCCTATTCCCAAGCTGGTTTGCATGATTTAGGCTGATACTTCACTGCAGACTAAAGAGAGTTGTACTGTCAGAAGTAAGGATAAGATGTCAGACTAAGGCCCTATTGCCCATCAAGTTGATGGAAATTATCCTGACATTATTCATGGAAGAGCACAGTGTAGGACATTGCTATGAGTAAATTGACTGACACTCTTCTTGCATTGCAGCAATGGCTGTGATTCAAAGCACATTGTTAACTGTAAAGAGCTTTTTGGACATCCTGATGATATAAAATATTCTGCTGAAATTCTGATTCTAGATTCCTCATACATTGTTTTCCTTGTATATGTAATTTGTTATTTCTCTAAATTAGGTAAATTATTAAGTGGGTGTTTTATGCTAATTAAAGCCTAATTTGAACTACTGGCCTAGAAATGTTTTCTAGTTTAAAAATTAACTTCATTTTATATTTTCCTGCGATAGAACACCAAAAATATCTAGGTAACCTCTGAATCTTCAGCAGTCAGTAACCTTTCCTTGCCCCTAATCTATCTGAGGCACCACATTGTTGAAGGTTTGTGCGCACTGTACACACCTTGATTATTTTCCATTCTAATCTATATACAAAACTTGTTATTTTCTTCCCTAGCAAACAGTTTTGAGTGAATCTTTTTAGCTTACAATTGGCCTATTGTCATCTTACCTTTGCTCATACCTTCACTCCAGGAATCATCCTAACGAACCTTCTCTGAACTTCATCTATGAAGTAATATCTTCCTAAAGCAGCCAAAACTGCTCACTGTACTCCAGATGTGGTCTCACCAGCAGTTTATACATTTGGACTAAGAATTCCCTGGTCTTATAGTCCAATGCCCTTGAAATGAGAGCCAACATTCCATTAAACTTCCTAGTTATCTGCTAGCTCTGTGTCTTGCACAAGTACTCCCCAGTCCTTTTGTTTTGCAGTTTCCTGTAGTTTTTCTCCATTTAAGTAACACTGTTATTTTGTTTTCCCTTCCAAAATGAACAACATCACATTTTCCCACATTATACTCCATTTGGCAACGTTTTACCCACTTAATTAACCTATCAATATCCCTCTATAAACTGTTTGTATCCCTCTCGCAACCTGCCTTTTCACCTATTTTTGTGTCATCATCTGCAACTTTGACTACAGTACATTTGCTTTCTTTCTCTTAGTCATCAGTATATATTTTAAACAGTTGAGGTTCCAGCACAGATTCCTGTGGAACCCCGCCGATCACAGATTACCAACATGAAATAGAGCCCCTTATCCTCACTCACTCTTTTTCTTCCCCATTAGCCAGCTCTCTATATATGTCAATATATTACTTCAATGCTATGGGCTCCTTTGACTTAATTTTTTGTGGGGTACCTTTGTTAAATACAAGGGAAGTCCAAATGCAACCCATTTACTGATCCCCCTCTATCCAATTATTAAATCAGACACAATTTCCCTTTCATGAAACCGTGCTGACTCTGCTTCTTTAGATTGTATTATTTACAGTCATAGAAAAATCATTGTGTTCTTCTGGACTCAATGTATTTTCCTTGGCTTTTGACCTTAAATCTTTCAGTCTTTCCAACAAGACATGACAGATGATCATCTAATACTAATACAAGTTTGTCTTTATATGTTCAGTCCAACTGGATATGGTTAATATTGGGAAAGCATTATTATCTCAACACAGGTTGCTTTTATTGAAGCCCTTGTTTTACACAGCTTGTCTCTGTTGATATCAGTCTCATTTCTAAATGGTAGGTCAAAGCTAGACTCCAAGGTTGAATTTTAACTTGCTGGAAGGGATGATCCATGAACCAGTGTTCTCCAATACAGCTGTGGCATTTTAGTGTGTGTGTTTGTGTGTGTGTGTGTGTGTGTGTGTGTGTGTTACTAGGTAGTCTGTATGTGGGGTAGTGTGTTAAGACGCTTTGGGGTGCAGCATCAAAGACTTTGGACGCTGGGGAGAGAAGTCAGAGGTCTGAGAGAAGGGAGTTGAAGGCCTTGTAGATAAGCAATCGGAAGACTTTAGACTGGAAGAGGTGGTGGGTGGTTCAAAGGCTTTGCGGGGAAATTTGGTGATCAGAAGGATTCTGGGTGGTGTCCAATCGTGGAAGATTGCCCAGGCAGGCACGCTGAATTGAGCAGGTAATTGGAAGGGTACGTATTTAACAATCCTTTTTCTTGGTTTAGCTGCCTTTTCTCCTGAGCCTTGGGAAACCCAGCCATCCAAAGTTAAATACAAATAAAGATTGTCATCTTGTAGAGCACCAAAGCAATTTCTGGGAGTGTTTGGTCTGTTCCTTAGCCCTATCCCACCATTATTAAAATAAACCACAGCTACCCTGCCCCTCCCTGTCTCAGCCCAATCTCTTTTGGGGTAAGCTGTCTATCATGATATCCCTTTACACCCCTCCCCCACCACTTCTTGATGTTGCATAGCCCATTAAATCTATAATTCCTGATGCTGTTCTTGAAACTTAGTTTTATTTGTGAGCTAACTCTGAACAGGGCATTTGTAAATTAAAAAGAAACTTACAGAGCTACTGTGATTTCTGTTCTTCTCAATGAAACAAAACTCTGACAGTTAAGCATGACTTTAATGTTGATTATCTTAATACATGATTCCACAAAAACAATCTATCCTGAGGGGGAGAGAAAAGCCAATTATCATTCGCCCTCATTGGCATGTTTACATTTATTTTTCAGTTTCCAAAATGCATATTTTCCATTGCATACAACTTGCTACTTTTTAATACTCCATTTAAAGAATTGAAATTTGTTTTGCAAGCCAATATGTCACTCGAAGACAACAGGTTAAACAATACAAGAGAGAAATAAACAACAAGTTGTATTTATTATAGCACCTTCAACATAATAGCACTTCATAGGAACTTTAAAAGCAAAATGTAACACCGAGCCACATGAAAAATATTAAGCTAGTTGATCAGCGATTTTGTCAGAGGTAGATTTTAAGGAGCATCTTAAAGCAGGAAATGAGATAAAGCAGTACAGTGAATAAATTCTTGAACTTTTACCTTAGACTTATGACGATGCAGCCACTAATTGTGGGGTGATAAAAGTTAAGTTGCTTAAAAAGCTAGAATGAGATGAGTGCAGGTATCCCTGCAGGTCAGGAGGTTGGAGGGAATTAGATATAGCAAGTGGTGAGCCTTTGGAGGGGTTTGCAAATATGGATGAGAATTTTAAATTGAGATATTGGTTGACCAGGAGCAAAATTGACCCATGTTACAAAGCTGAAAATGATCAGGTGTTCCATTCAGTCAAATATGACACCAAAGCTATGGTTTACTTTCAGATTGTTACCAGACGGGAATGAAGTCTGATAGTAAATCAGAAAAAGGAAATAGATAGGAGATAATAGTGAGGATTTAGTCTTAAATTTAGAAGTCTCATGCTATGATAATGATGACATTAGTTGTGTATATTTAGCATGGGAGTATCATTGAAGTGAGGTCATTGGATTTTGAGTTTAATAAATATACACTATCTGGTTAGGGTCACTTCACCCTACAGTAAGAGTTTCATTGACAGCGCCTTAAACCTAATTGTTATATTGATCTAAATGTATTGACCTTTTCTTCCTTCTCAGCTAACTCTGATGGGATTACGGAAAGTCACCTTTCCTGCTCTGTACAATGGAGACATTTAAACTTGGCAGCTTACATTGAGAAAACATACTGACTTTAAATGAAGGTGCCACCTCTACTTAGAATGTGGTGTTTAAACGGCTATTTAAAACTAAGCAAAAACACGAGGATTTGGACAAAGATGTTGTTCTTATTGGTTCTTTAACTGCATGCTCTTTTTGTGACTGTTCTGCTCAAATGTGTTAACTACCATGTTCCTTTTAATTTTCCTTTTTTTTAAGTGTGCAGCATATCACCTGTCCATTGCTGATTCTTCATGCTGAAGATGATGCTGTCATCCCCTTTCACCTGGGAAGAAAGGTGAGTCATGCACGCGAAGCTCATACTAACTTTCAATAGTTGAATGAACTTGTGACCAGTTTTGTATTTGATGCCTTTCTCTTACTGCAGCATTGAAACCTTCAGTTCACGCCTTCATCGCAATCTATCATTTAGAATGAAGTTTTTAACAATCTTCATAATGTTTACAATTTCCAGACTTAGAACGTGGTTTCTGGTGTCAACTGTGACTTGGTGGTAATACACTCACTTCTGAGTCACAAGCTTGTGACTTCTGTTCTCACTGCAGAAACTTGTGTGTAATCCAGCGTGACATTGCCTAGTGTAGCAGTGAGCCAGAGCAACACTATCAAAAGTGCCATTTTTGGATGAAGTGTGAACTCCAACCATAGCTGCACCTTAGGTAGAAGATTTTTTTAAAAAATCCTGTGCTAATGTTTGAAGAGGTCAAGGAAATTCTGCACAATGTCCTGGACAATATTTATTATTCAACCAATACACGTTTAACCTGATTGTTATCATATTGCTGTTTGTGGGAGCTGGCACATATCCTCAATAACAACATCGACCATACTTCGATAATACTTAGTTAGCTGTGATGTGTTTAGGAAAGTTGTGAAATACTTATTTTTAAGCTTGTTCCTTTTTATCTCAAAATAAATTCTTATTCCAATTAATAAAGCCAAGTTAATAAAGTTGCTGTTTTTACTTACATAGCTGTTGCTAATCAGAATTGGAACAATATTTCCAAAAGGAAGAGCGAAGAAAAATAAATATTAAATTATTTACAGTATAAACAATTAGAATAACTTCCTTAAATTGCAGTTACACAAAATTAAGACAGCTCTAGCTATTTTTAGTTCATACCATTTGGAAAGCCTCATCCACTGGGACTAGTCACAGTTCAGAGCATTTATTTTGCCTGAGCTGCATTGATCTTCAGTGATTTTGAAGTAATATTCTTATCCAAACCACTAGCTTTTCCACAGCTGGAATTACTAAAGTAAAAATGTTGCTAATCTTTGAAATACTTTGATGAGAGTACAAAGGGGGTTTATAAGGTCTAGTAGTACAAGTGAGTGTTCAAGTCCCACCTGCCCCAATGGTGTCTTAACGTGCCTGAACAGGTTGATTTTAAATAACTACTACGAAGATTTATCAGAATGTATCCATGGTGAGCTATAGACCGTTCAGTCTGACATCGACGGTGGGCAAGTTGTCGAAGAAAATCCTGAGGGACAAAATTTACGTGTATTTGGAAAGGCAAGGACTGATTAGGGACAGTCAACATGGCTTTGTGCATGGGAAATCGTCTCTCTCTAACTTGATTGAGGTTTTTGAAGAAGTAACAAAGAGGATTAATGAGGGCAGAGCTGTGCATGTGATCTATATGGACTTCAGTAAGGCGTTTAACAAAGTTCCACATGGTTGACTGGTTAGTAAGGTTAGATCACACTGAATACATGGAGAACTAGCTATTTGGATACAGAACTGGCTCGAAGGTAGGAGACAGAGGGTTGATTTTTCAGACTGGAGGCCTGTGACCAGCAGTGTGCCTCAGGCATTGGTGCTAGGTCCACTGCTTTTTGGCATTCATAAATGATTTGGATGTGAACATAGGAGGTCTGGTTAGTAAGTTTGCAGATGATGTTAAAATTGGAGGTGCAGTGGACAGCGAAGAAGATTACCTCAGTACAACAGGCTCTTAATCCGATGGGCCAATGGGCTGAGGAGTGGCACATTTAATTTAGATAAATGTGAGGTGCTGTATTTTGGAAAGACAAATCAGGGCAGGACTTATACACTTACTATTAAGGTCCTGAGGAGTGTTGCTGAACAGAGAGACCTTTAGCGTACAGTTAATAGTTTCTTGAAAGTGGAGTTACATGTAGACAGGATAGTGAAGAATGGTCTGCTTGCGTTTATTGGTGAGTGCATTGGGTATAGGAGTTGGGAGGTCATGTTGTGGCTGTACAGGACGTTTGGTTTGGTCACTTTTGGAGTATTGCATTTAATTCTGATCTCCCTGCGATAGGAAGGATGTTGTGAAACTAGAAAGGGTTCAGAAAAGATTTAAAAGAATGTTGCCAGGTTGGAGGGTTTGAGCTATAGGAAGAGGCTGAATAGGCTGGGGCTATTATCCCTGGAGCTCAGAGGCTGAGGGGCGACCTTACAGAGGTTTATAAAATCATGAGGGGCATGGAAAGGGTGAATAGGCAAGATCTTGTCCCCAGGGTAGGGGGGTGTCCAAAACTAGAGTGCATTGGTTTAGGGTGAGAGGGGAAAAGATATAAAAGGGACCTAAGGGGCAACTTTTTCATGCAGAGTGTGGTGAATGTATGGAATGAGCTGCGAGAGGAAGTGGTGGAGGCTGGTACAATTACAACATTTTAAAAAGGCATCTGGATGGGTGTATGAATAGGAAGGGTTTAGAGGGATATGGGCCAAACCCTGGCAAATGGGACTAGATTTATATCCGGTATCTGGTAGGCATGGACAAGTTGGATCAAAGTGTCTGTTTCTGTGCTGTATTTTTCTATGACTCTATAAGAATCATCTTGAGCAGTCCTTTAGGATCAAGGACGACTTATTTCCAGATCACCTTAATAGGTTCTGAAATGATTGTTAAATCTACACTTTCTGTCATGTGTGGGGGAGGTGGTCCTGAAAGGTCAGGTTGTTGAGGTGTTTGGAGGTTTGTGTGTGCTGTCCAATCTTTGACTTAGCCTCTGCATGTTTCCATTGAAGTCTCTGAATCGGTTTATGTGGGAAGAAACTAAACCTCAATTTTGGTCAGTCATGATCCAGTGACTCCCATGAGTTGTGGAGGGGGGTGAGACAGGATGTTTGATGATATCAGGGATACTTTGAGGATATCCCTAAAGCATTTCTGTTGTCCTCCTGGCCATCTTTCTTGTTCCCCTAAGCAGAACAATTTATTCAGAAACATGGCATCAGGCATAGTTTGCTGGAGGTTTGACTTCCTTTGCCCTAACTTGTTTTCCTGAGCAGGGGTCAGGATTCCATGCACGGTCTCAAGTTTCTAGACAGCAATGTGTGCCATGGAGCTCTGCCCACCTCCAACTCATGTTGCAGACCTTCTTTCCCCCACTAACTAACTCTGCCCCCCAGTTTTGATATTTATCACTGATTAGTTAAAATGGGGTCACAGCACTACCCTACCAAGTTTCCAGTTGTGGGCAATATCTTAAGACTGGGTGAGTGATCAATGACAAGAATGGGTTTGGGACAGTTGGCAGCAGATAGTCATGTGATGAAACCGCCAAGAATCATTCAACCAGCGTTAGTCCAGAGCAGTGAATGTTGTCAGTGTTATCATAGCCCACATAAGGTGAAAATGATTGTCCCTGACATCAGGGCTGCATTTGACTGAGCTTTAGCAAAACTGGAGTCAATGGAAATTGGAAAATGGTCCACCCCAAGGCATCTCTGTCGGAGTTCAGCAGGTTATGTCCTTTGCCCAACCATTTTCAGCTACTTCGTCAATGACCTTTCTTCCATCATAAAGTCAGAAGTAGGAATATTTGCCAATGATTGGTGCTGAACATTGGGCATTCATGGTGATTCAAGTACTGAAGCAATCCATGTTCAAATGCAGTAAGGCTGGACACTATTCAGGCTTGTATTGAAAAGTGGCAAGTAACATTCACCCCATGCAAGTACCAGACAAAGCCTATCTCTAACACAAGAATCAAACCACCACCCCTTGACATTCAATGGCACCACTATCACAGAAGCTCCCACTGTCAACATCCTGGGGGTTACCATTGACCAGAAATGGAACTGGGACTAGTAATACAAATGCTGTGGTTAAAAGAGCACATCAGAGGTTAGGAATCTTGCAGGGAGTAACTTGCCTCCGGACTCCCCAAAGCCTGTCTACCACCTACAAGGGACGAATCAGGAGTGTGGTGAAATACTCCCCACTTGCCTGGATGAGTGAAACTCCAACAACACTCAAACTTGACAAGATCAAAGATAAACCAGCCCACTTGACTGGCACCACATCAACAAACATTCAATCACTCCACCACCAATGCTTAGTAACAGTAGTGAATATTATTTACAAGATTCACTGCAGCAATTCAATGAGGCTCCTTAGCACCTTTTCAAACCCATGACCACCATTATGTAGAAGTATAAGGGCAGAAGTTACATTGGAACATCACCTTCCATTCCACGCTTCTCACCATCCAGACAATCCAACATAATGCAAATATCTTGTTGTTCCTTCAGTGTTGCTGGATCAAAATCCCGAACCTTCCTCCATAATGGCATTGTAGGTCTACATACACTAAATGAACTGCAGTAGTTCAAGAATAAATCTCAGCACCATCTTCTCGAGGGCAATTAGGGATGGGGAGTGAATGGTTATCTAGCCAGCAATGCCCACGTTCTGTAAATTAATTTTTAAAAAATCGTTTATCTTTTGCTAGCAATTCCAAATAAAAGGCTCATTGTAGATAACTCCCTTCTCTTTCAGTTCTAGGACATCTATGTTCCATATATGTATAGAACACAGAATTGTTTTACACAGGAACGGGCCCTGCGGCCCATGATATCGCGCTGAACATGATGCCAGCTGAAACTAATCCCTTCTGCCTGCAATTGATCCATATCCCTCCATTCCTTGCATATTTATGTGCTTATCTAAAAGTCTCTTAAATGCCCCTATTGTATCTGCCTGCACCACCGGCACTGGCTGTATGTTCCAGAAACCTACCACTCTCTGTGGAAAAGTCTTGCCCCTGACTTCTCCTTTGAACTTACCCCCAGTATTAGACATTTCAACTGTGGGGGAAAAAAGAGTTGACAGTCAGAATCTATCTATGCATCTCATAATTTTTCAGACATCTATCAAGTTTCCGCTCAAGAGAAAACAACCCGAGTTTTTCTAGCCTCTCCTTATAGTTCATACCTCCTAATCGAGGCAGCATCCTGGTAAATCTCTTTTGCACCCTCTGCAAAACCTTCATATCCTTCCTGTAATGTGGCGACCAGAATTGAATGCAATACTGTATAAATGTGGCCTAACCAAAGTCTTTTAAAGCTGCAACATGACATCCTGACTCTAGTACTCAATTCCCTGACCAATAAAGGCAAGCATGCCATACACCTCCTTTACCACCCTATTTACTTGCATGGCCACTTTCAGGAAGCTATGGACTTGAACCCCAAGAGCCCTCTATACATTGCTGCTCAGGGTCCTGCAATTCACTGTATACTTTTCCTTAACATCTGATCTCCCAAAGTGCAGCACCTCACACACGGATTGAACTCCATCTGCCATATCTGCAACCGATCTATATCCCACCTTTTGACAATCTTCTACAAAACCACAACTCCACCGATCTTTATATTATCTGCAAACTTATTAACCAACTCACTTACATTTTTGTCTAAGTCTTATATATATGTCACAAACAGCAGAGGTCCCAGTATGGATCCCTGCAGAACACCACTAGTCACGGACCTCCGGCCTGAAAAACACCCTTCTACCAATACTTTTGTCTTCTATTGGCAAGCCAATTCTGAATCCATGCGGCCAAGTCGTTGTGGATTCCATGCATCTTAATCTTCTGGAAGAGCCTACCATGAGGGACCTTGTTGAAAACCTTGCTAAAATCCAAGTAGACAACATCGACTGCTCTACCCTCATCGATCTCCTTTGTCACCTCCTCAAAAAATTCAATCAAGTTGGTAAGATATGGACTGCCCTGCTTAAAGCCATGCTGACTGTCCCTAATTAGCCCATGCATTTCCAAGTGTGTGTAAATCCTGTTCCTAAGAATTCTCTCCAATAGCTTCCCAATAACCAGTCTAAGACTCACTGGTTTATAGTTTCCTGGATTATCCCTATTTCTCCTCTTGAACAGAGGAACAAAATTAGCTACTCGCCAGTCTCCAGGACCTCTCCAGTGGCTAGCAAGGATACAAAGATCTTGGTCATGGCCCCAGCAATCTCCTCTCTTGCCCTTATCTATAACCTGGGGTAGATACTGTCTGGCCCTGGGGACTTATCCACGTTAATGCTCTTCAAGAGATTCAACACCATTTCTTTCTTGACCTCAAAATACCCTAGCATATTGGCATGCTTCACACAAATCTCATTATCCTCCATTTCCTTTTCCAGGGTAAATACCAATGCAAAGTACTCATTTAGGATCTTAGCCACATTCTCTGCCTCTCTTATCCTTGAGTGGTCCTACCTTCTCCCTAGTATTCCTCTTGTTTTTAATGTATCTATAGAACACCTAGGAATTCTCTTTAACCCAACTTGCCAAGGTCATTTCATGGCCCCTTCATGCTCTCCTAATTCCCTGCTTGAGTTCTTTCCTGCTTATATTGTATTCCTCCAGGCCCTGTTCAATTTTTAGCATCCTAAACCTTACATACGCTTTTTTCCCTTTGACTACATTTGCAACGTCCCTCGTTATCCCTTATCATGCCATACTTATCCTTCCTCCTTACTGGAACATGCTGGCCTTGAACACCCCCCAGCAGGTCTTTAAACAATTCCCACATGTCAAATGTGGACTTTCCTGATAACAGTTCCTCTCAAATAATACTTCCTAGCTCCTGCCTAATATTGTCATAATTTGCCTTCCCTCCGCTTTAGTACTTGCCTGCAAATTCCTGACTTATCCTTATTCATAGCTACCTTAAAACTTAAGTTGTGATCGATGTTACCAAAATGCTGTCTCACTGAAAGGTTAGTCACCTGGCCAGGCTCATTAGCCAGTACAAGGTCCAGCATGGCTCCTCCTCTAGTTGGACTGTGCACATACTATTTCATAAAACTCTTTTGGAAGCACTTGACAAATTCTGCCCTGTATACGCCTCTTGCTCTAAGGGAAAGTAAGTGAAAGATGTTAGAGGACATCAGGGGAACTGGCTGAAAATAAAGATTTCAAATATTCAGAATGTTTGTTCTGTTCAATTACATGAAACAAAATATTTTTGCAATTATAATTCAGACCATTAAATCCTGCAAGTATTTATCCAATGTTTCTTTGGCTGGGAGAACCAATGCAAGGAAAAGGGAGAAAGTACGACAAACAAGATTAACATGAATAATGTAAAATTCCCAAAGGAAATTGCATATTCAATAAACGTCACCTTAGTCTGTGGATCAGAAAATGTTGCCTCACACAGTGAAATTATATGTTCATGTATACCATGTACTTGAAGAATAGATGTTATGTTCTCAGTTTACTATTGGTATGTGTTTGAAAGAATGTATATTCTTGGATGCTTTATGTGGGGTTTATAAGCTGCAATAAGATGATACTGGATGGGTTTTACTAACAATGCATCATCTGAACTTGCTTCCAACCTATTACAATATTCGTTTGTCATCCTCAAGGGCGCGCCTTGGTCTGAAGGGTAAACTGTCTGCATGGAATGGCAACTTTCATTTCCATGAAAATGTAAAATATTTTGTTTATCCGCAGCTTTATGACATTGCATCTTCTAAGGGCAATAGGAAAGTGCAGTTTGTTCCCTTCCACAAAGACCTTGGTTACAGGCACAAGTATATATACAAGAGCCCACAGCTTCCTCACATATTAAGGTAAATGTACGTTTGTTTTATGACAGTATTGTGCTCTCACTGTGCTCTCAGTATTTCACTTCTGTCTATCCCAGTGTTGTTGCTATATCTCCTGTTTTGATAGGTAAAGATATCATTGGATATGCATTAAGATGAGTTCAGGCCTTATCGGCCATAAGAGCATAGAACTAGGCACAGGAGCAGATCAGAAAGCTCTTTGAGCATGCTTTACCATTCATTATGATCATAGCTGATATCCTGCCGTAATTCCACTTTACCACCCAAGTTCCAAATCCCTTTATTTTCTTGAGAGATTAAACATCTGTCCGTCTCAGCTGCTGGCATGGACAATTCCAAAGATTTTCAATCCTCTGAATGAAGACACTTCTCCACATCTCAAACTAAGATATCAACCCCTTCATTCTGAATTAGTAGCGCCATGTTCTAAATTTCCAGCAATAAGAAGCAACCACTCAGTGTCCATCCTGTCAAGACTCTTCAGGATCGAGTATATTTCAAATGAGATCCACTCTCCTTCTAAACTACAAAGTCTAGGGCTAATTTATTCATCATAAACCATCTTCTCATCTCAGGAACCAATTAAATGAATCCTGCACTGCCCCACTAAATTGGGTTAAGACATCCTTTTCATTATACTCCAGTCCCCTTGCAATAACTGCAACATGCCATTTGCTTCCTTTATAGCTTGCTGTACACTAATATTAACCTTTCATGTTCATTGTCTGTGAACATCAACCTTTTCTAGTATTGGGCCTTTTAAAAATATTTTGCTTTTCTATGATTATGAACATAGTGAATAATATCACACTTGCCCACATTATACTGCATCTGCCATCTTGTTGCCCAGTCACTTAAGCTATTTATATCTTGTTGTCAGTTGTGTCCTACTCACAGCTTACATTTCTCATCTAGCTTTCCATTATCAGCAAACTTAGATACATTATTCTTGGGCTCTTTGTCTAATTTGTTTATATAATGGTAAATAGTTGAGGCTTGAGGCCTGAGCACTGTCCTTATGGCAATCCAATAGTCTCGCAGGCTGTCAACTTCAAAATGCCACATTTTATCCCAATTCTCCTCTTCCTGTGTGTTAACTAATCTTCAAGCCATGCTAATATATTACCCCCAACTTCAAGAGTCCTTACTCTGCATATTATGTATGAAGCCTTATCAAATACCATTTAGAAATCCATTTTCTATCTTACTACTTACGTCCTCAAACTCTTAAATTTGTCAAGCGTAGTGACCCTTTCCTTGAATCATATTGGTTTTGTTGCATGGAAAGATATGGGAAAAAGTTAAAAATGTGGAAGGCTCAGCAGAGTTTATTAAAATTTCCAGAACAAGTCGTAGGGCAGAGTGTGGAAAGGTCAGGAGTCAGACCAGGGGATGACTGAGAAGGAGGGGCAGTCAGCACAAGACTGAAGGTGTTGTACTTAAATGCATGTAGTGTATAAAACAAGGTAAATGAGCTTGTAGCGCAGATTGAAATTGACGGGTAACTGTTATGGGTATCACAGAGACATGGCTACGACAGGATTGGTGCTGGAAACTAAATATCTAAAGATACGTGTCCTATTGAAAGGACAGGCAGAGGGGACGGGGTTGCCTTGTTAGTAAAAAATTAAATAACTTGATAGCAAAAAGTGATGTTGAGTTGTTAGGCGTAGAATCTGTGTGGGTAGAGTTGAGGAACCGTAAAGGAAGAAACTCCCTGATGGGAGTTGTGTACAGGTCTCCTAACTGTAGTCAGGATGTGGGGAAGAAAATAAATCAGGAGTTTTTTAAATCGAACAACATTTTGTTGAATTGGTTCTGTAAATATTTTCCACTGTTTATTTCCCACCATACATTTCAGTCTATTTACCCCATCAACCTCTCCCCTTGTACATATATAATTGGCTGTTCACTTTCAGATTCTTGTGTCGGTCATAAATGTGTCTCCCTCAAGTACAATTCACTTGTGTAATGATCACTTTATCTTTAACTGTAAGATGACTAATTAACCCTTCATCCATACTACCACTTCCTTTTGAGCTAAGACCCTTTCTTACTGCTGTTCTTTTGTCATTCTTTATTATCAAAGCTATCTTACCTCCTTTACTCATTCTCCATCTTTTTAAGTGTTGAATACTCTTGAACACTACTTTCTCAATCTTGGTCGTTGTTTAACTGTTTCTGTTATGGTAATTATATTGAACACATTTAACTCTAATTGTGTCACTGGTCTGTACAACATGTTACAAATGCTATGCTCATTCAGATAAAGAGCCTTAAATTGTGCTTTTTACTCACTGTTCTGTATGTGGACTTCATTTGGATTATTATCATTGTAGCCCCTTGTCATTCCAGCAGCTTGGCAAGACAACAACCCACAATGACACTTGGTAATTTTATGTACAGTACTTATGGTAGAACCTGCCTTCGAAGATTGGCCTCTTTAACCATCAGCAACTGTCCTATGTGAACCCACCCCCATGTGAAATTGATTTAATTGCTGTGTCTCCGTCATCTTTTGAGGATGGAAGAGTGATGTCAAGGAAGAAAAAGTACTGTTAAATTTTCTGTCCTTTCCTGATCCACGCTGCTTGATTTATCCAAGTCATCATATTGTTTTATTGAGTTAACTTTTTGTCAGGACTCTGATGCCATCCGAGTTTAAATGAAGCCCATTTGAACAGAATTACAGTCCAACTGAATGGTGAAACAGGAACGAGTGCCGAATTATTCCTGTTCCTATGGTTTTCATAGCTTCTCCTGTGCCTTTTTGGTCACTTCTGCGTGAACCTATCAGTTCTCCCACTTCTATTCATCATTCACCAGCACAGCCTATTTCCCTGGTTAATGGGTACACGAATGGCTAAGGGAAACTCCTGGTGGCTTCTGGCTTAGATGTATTTGAAATGGTTGGAGTTTGTCCAACAGAGCTTGAAAAACGTTGATGCTAACAATGGTAATTCTAATTAAGTTCGGGAGTCTGTCTCCAATGACTAATTGTTCAACTCTCTTTGACAGGCTGCTGTGCAACTGAAGTAGAGAGGGACAAACTAAGATCAGTACTATTTAGAATGGGCAAAGGAGAAAATTTGAGAAATCTGCTTTGTGTTGAAAGGGAGAAAAAGCAAGACCTGCTTGATGTTAGAAGCACACCAGAGATATCTTGTTTAGGCAGAAGGAAAAAGATTGAGCCTATGTTAGTTAGGGATGAGAGATGAGCACTTTTGTGAGATTGAGAAAGAATAGTTAGATACATTTTGTGGGGAGTTAAGGGGAAGGCATGGTGAAATGGAGGAGTTGGAAGAGCTGCAGTTGTAGCTTTACAAGAAATGGAATTAAAAGATGTTGCCCAGGTTAGGGAGCACTTACGAAACAGCATCATTCTGCTTCACCCTGATCAATATCACAGAAGATCTACTGGTAATAGAAATGCTTGAGTAATTATAAATCCCTTTCTTTCTCTTGATGCAGGAAGTTCTTAAGTGACCCAAATACGCGTCAGTAGTGAAGTGGACCACAGAGATTAGTTGCAACTTTGGAGCGCCTGAAGACTTCAATTTGTGTCACTCAAAACTTGCATGACTTCTATTGATTTGCATTCCACAAAACTCATTCATCTGAACATGAAACAAAAATGATGCTGTTTGGGTTCTTTTTTTCCGCAGATGAGGGAGCTCAGTGGACAGCACAGCCAAAGGATGAAATGAAAGAATTATTACTTGAGAATTTGATTCTTGTTATAAAAAAATGAAGGCATACAATTTTTCATGACCACAATGATGAATTTCCTAGAATGAAATATAGTTAATTTTTAAAGTGCAAAAATAAATGATGGATAATCAGAGTAATTTCAAAATATGATTCTGAATCAGCGCACGCCATTTCTTGTTTCTGGATCATGGGTAATTATTCCAAAAGTAGTACTTTTGCTTTTTGAGAGTTCCAACCTGTTCATTTTTTTTTAAACCCAATAGTGTTGCATGTACAAAGGACATGCCTTTTCAGTTTTATTCTGCTGGTAGAAGATTTTAAGATGAAATGCTGCTCATAAAATATAATAACTTCCCTACACTTGGTGCAAGGATTTTTGAAGGTTCATACCTTTAGCTCAGATGAGTCTGTTGCAGTATACTAATATCAAAGTATTCAAGTAGACTATGCCCACTGTATCCAATGACATTGTCGAGAATATTAGACGAGTAGGTTATTTTACTTCCTGTTCTATGCCAGAGTCTGCCTGTTGGTATTTTGCCCTTCAATTAAAATGGGGGTTGGTGGGGATGGTAAATGTATATATTCATTGAAGGTTGTTTATTTGCTAGACTCCGTAGTCTTATGCGAAGTAACTGAACGTTCTCCTCCCAGTTTTTAGTGAGTCTGAGCCCTACAACACAAAAGTGACAACTTTGCTGAAGGCAGCATAACGATGTCTGGTGTGAGGATTGGAAAACAGACATCCCTTGGTAGTCTGTTTTGATTGGAGTACCTTGTGTTATACAGCTGACTGTGCTGTACTTGACCTAGAGGACCTTGATACTGACATTGGTAATAGCATTGATCAAACTCCAATTTCCCATCATTTTGATGAGTGCAAAATTCCACCCAGGTTTTCTTAATTTCCAAGGTAACTACTCAAAATTGAATCAAATGGTGATCTATCTTTGTGTCAGTTCTACCACTAAGGACTTGTCTTAATGAATTCAGGCAACTTAAGAAGTTTGTGCAAATTTCCTTTGTGACACATGCTTTGTAAACAAATATTGGGTTTTGGTGTGGTCACCAAAGGAATTGCAACTAACAACTGCTTATTACTTATGATCTGTTGTCACAGTGTCACTTATGCACTGCTAGTACACTGGGCAACTGTACAACTGGAACAATACTTGTGTGGAATATATATTAAATTATTGGTTGACTTCTGAGATATGATTATAACATACTCCTTTTGTTGAAATAACATCAGTTGCTGTAAAATGTGTACTAAACAAAACATACACCAATGTAAATAATATAGCATTTATTAAAAGCAAAATTCTTATCAACATATTGCATTGTTCCAGTGAAGATTAGAAATGGCTGCCTAGTTGCAGTCAGTAACAGAAAGCAGCCTTCTTGAATAGGTACGTAGTACAGATTATTTATTAAAATATTTATGAAATTCTGAACCACATTTTGAATGCATCCCGAGCTCAGAAGAAAATTAAACCTCACAAATGCTAATAAGCTGAACCACAAACGGAAATTTTGGGGAAAATGCAGCAAATGTGTAATCTTAAAGGAAAAGATGACAAGTTATGTTTAAGGAGGCTTTTGTTTCTGGTGAAACAAGAATTGATTTTTGCTTTTTGGGTTTGTCCATTTCTTAAATTGTTTGTGAAAATGACATCCATCTGTAAAGAGGTATTCTTCCTCTTTGGGGCCAAGATAAGATGCCTCCGTTAGCAGGGCCAAACATCTTGGTTCATGAAGCGCCTTCAACTAGGATAAAATTACGTAGACTTTTACAGCACAGGTCCAATGGATCTGTACTAGTTTTACACTCCAAATGAGCCTCATTCCTCCTTACTTCACCTCACCTTATCAACATATCCTATTCCTTCCCCTCATGAACGTAAATGGCTTCTGTTTGATTGTCTTAAGCCACCAATCAAAAGTGTATAAGCCAGAAAACAGAATCTTGTGAAAGAATTCTCTCCGACTTATTCATGTTTTGTTTTTGTTGATTCCAGCAGCAACAACTCTAGAAAATCAGGCTTTGAGTCATAGTTTTACTGACCTGTCATGATAAATGATCATTTATTTTTAAGTAAGTACTACTAATTAGAGTTGCTTCAGATTATTTCATGGTTTAACTTGCAGTAAGGATTTGAATTGCATTGAATAGTACATGTGTGCGCCCACAGACTTTTGACATCTGCACTGATATTCACTGGAGTTCCACATGTATGAATTAAAATCTAAATGTTCAATTTTAAACTCCCCAATCTTGTTTTACAAAAGGGAGTATCTCTGTAACTGTTCTGCACTAGTTCAGATGATTGATCACAAATTAAACATTTGAGTTTCATTCATGATGTAGTGTACTAAATTCCCACATTCTGTTAATCATTCTCCGATATCTGGTCTGTGTTTAGGGGAAACAGATTTATTAAGTTAGGCAATTGACTGTGCCATTGGTTGAAGTATAACAATTAAGCAACCCATCCATTTACCTGAATATAGTATATTAATATTGTTTACTGTGGCTATTTAGCTTTTTTAAATGAAGCACATTCCACCTTCGCATATCTGTTAAGAGATTTTAACATTCTTTTGAACAGCAGAGATTTGATAATTGCCAGTTATTCATTCAGGAATTGGAATGCTCTGATCAGCTCTAAAGAAAAAATGCACAATCATAGCTGCTCAGGTTTTAAAGATGAGTAACTGGAAATGTTGATCTGTTAGAAATTTTTCTTCCAAATATTTCAAATCTTTTTCTTGTGTGTATTTGAATGGCCTGCAGGGAGAATTTTCTTGTGTGCAGACAGGAACTAGACCACTTGTTGAACAGCTTTTATTCTTCATGTTTCACATGGCATAGAATATGGAACTATTCCAATACTTTATCTGCTTATGCTGCTTAACATAAAGTGGAGTGATTGGAGAGTTCTTTTATTATGAAATACAAGCGTCTTAAAACATCTGTACACATCGATCCTAAAAAAAAGTAAAACTCAATTTGTTACATATTTGGCAGAAGAAAAAATAATTTTGAGGTGTGATGAACATTCTTTTCAGCGATGTGTTCAGTAACACCATTGCTAAATGCTTTTGGTGGTGTGTTGCAAATTTGGCTGTTTACATCACCTGTGTTTTTACTTAAAAAGTACAGACCAGTCTCTTCCCATTTGCCAAAGATCATCAGTTAATTTTTGGTGCAGGATTAGCAGTGGTAATATATGCAAAATTATCACCGTTTGCTGCTACAAGTAGCAGCAATTTCTGAAATCCTGCCCATTGTTTTGATTGTATATTAGCACCTTACTGGATCAAAATTCTGAAAGTCCGAGTGTAACAGCATTATTGAAGTAACTTCACCACAAGTGGCCACTGTTCCAGCAGAAGACCTAGCACCACTACTTTGGAACAATGGATAGATTGAAAATGCTGACCTAGCCAGCATTTGTAAATTGATTTTTAAAAAGTTCACAAGTCCCTAATGTCTATGGATATGTACTAGAAGAGACGACCCGTTGAGATGTTTTGTAAATCTGTGTCTACTATATTGATCTCCTTCACAGAACTGATTTCAACTTTCCCCAACCCTTTGTGTGCAGTGAATTGTAACATTTCGTTTTTGGCAAAGGTCTAATGAGCTTTGCATACTTCAAATTCACTGAAATTTTTAAGTTTGTTTTAACCAAATGCTGATATGGAAGTCGTTGAATAGTCATGTGAACATCAAACATATATCCACGTTGAGTGATGTCTTGATTGAGGGAAGTCCATTGAACTTGCACCTTTTGTAAACTGCTGAATCTAGGATTTTATGCACTGTATATTTTTAAATAAAGATCTTGAGTACTTCAAACTCACTATTTATTTAGTTTTGAACACAACACCTTTGATTTATAGTGATATGCATTGCCTGAAATTGACAAAGGCCTATTGTCCTGTGTTTTGGATTCTTAACTGCTAATTTAGAAGATTGGTGATAAACAATGGCTGAGTTTCCTCCATGTTCACACCTGAATATGCCTGTAATCTGAATGCATCTTAAAGAATAAATTGTGGTCCTATTAAATGTTCAACCATAATATTCTCAGTGACCTTCATCTTTTATATTCATTGATCAAGTTCTCAGATAATAAACTCCCACCCAACAAACTGGTGTTACTGTGATGTTCTCAAGGGCTGTGCTTTGATCTTGTTCGTTGGGAAGGTTTTCAGTTGGGACAATAATAAAACTGATGATCTGGATATTTAATTGCAATGTTTTATTTAAACAATTTCTCCTCTATCAGTTTCTTTGTCCTGACAAAATGAGTTAGAACCTCTAAATGTTATGACTGAAGAGAAATATGCCATTTCCTTTGGTTCTAATTGTTTAGGTGCATTCTAAAATGGTCAATGGAAAATCCATCCTGATATAATAGATGTAAATATGGATTATTAAAAAGAAATATATTTTAGTTCCATTCAGAAATGTTAGACTTAATCACATTAATTACTCTACTTTTATTCTTTTCTCACCCAAGCTCTCTGGCAGGACAATCTAACTTGTTGAGGGCCAGCCAAGATGGTGGAGGAATCTTTGAGGTGTGGAGCTTATTTAGATAGGATACACATGCCTTTTGACAAACACGTTTCCTCACGTAGCTCTCTGGAAGCAGATGTGCACCATTTCAGGGAAGCATATTAGGGTATGTGATGGAAAATAGGGTAGCAGTGGTACTCTAAGGCTGGTCCTGGGCCTCTGACTCCATCTGTAGTGAAATTAGTTGGAGGACAAAGTCAATTTATCCTGACTCATGGTGCAGTGGTAATATCCCAAGAGACCCGGGTTCAAGTCCTAACTGCTCCAGAGGTGTGTAACATCAGCTCTGAGCAGGATGATTAGGAAAATAGGTTAAATAAAAATTTAGATTAGAATTAACCCAGGTGTCTTTGGTCTGTTCTGCTCCAAATAAAATTGTTTAATTAACCCCAAATAAACAATGTTATTATGTTATTAGATCAATAATTCAGACGTTCAAATCCTCCCCTGTTGATGGCAATTTGCAACTTTCCATTGCAGTTTGGAAATTTTAGCTTAATTTTCAAAAATCTGAAGATACGTTGGGCCTTAGTTAAATGAGGCATTATAATATAAATTATGGCACTGAGCTATGCAAGATGATAATTTGGACAATTGGGCAAAGAAGTAGGCTTTAAGCCTGTATTAGGGGTAAGTGAGGTAAAAGAGGCAGAGTGATGTGGGGAGGGAACAACTTGCGTTTTAGACAGCTAAAGTCAAAACCTCTTAATGAAGCAATTAAAACAAGATGTTTAAACACTTAAATCTTAATGTATGAACTGGGTTGGTTAGCCCAGTTGCCTGACTAGCTCGTTTGAGATGCAAATTGACAGCAGCTGCAGAATTTTGATTCTCTTCTCTTATTGGCTAAGAGCACTGAATGCACAATATCTTGGATTTGCATGAGGAATGGTGGACCTCAGGTTAAACTCACCATTCATTGCCCCTTTGTAATGAGAAAGCAGACTCTAGGACTTGGGAGACTGTCACTTCAGTGTCATCATCTGAAAGCGCAGGTTTGTAGGGTAGCATGTAAACAAGAAGTAGGAAAAGTTCAGGAACAGTGGTAATTGAGTGGAAGGTGTGTTTTTGTATTGTATGACCCTATGACTACGAGGCATTATTAATGGCAATTTGCTAGTTATTAGATAGATATTGGCTTTGATAGGTTGATTCTTGAAAAAGAATGTTTCACATTACCAGATAATCTGCATAGGCTGAAGGTGAATTTTGTATTGAATGATATTGGCTCTCTTTTCAATGTCCTTGTCAGCATATGTTACAGAAACCAGAATGTAAGACAGCAAATATATTTTTGACCCAGTGAGTTTTGATTTATACCAATGTTTCTGGTGGAAGGAGCTGCCATAGTAATTTTCCAAAAGAAATTAGATATGCATATGGAAAATTTGCAGAGCTACAGTGAAGTCCAAGTGAATAGGGAGAGTAATTGGAAAGGTGTTTCAAAGTGCATTGTGGTGCTCACAGTAGGTATTAGAAATCTATGAACCGTTTGATAGTAGTTGCCTACAAGATAGATGCAGAGTGGCTAGTGCTTCATAAAACACAAGTATCAAAACAGGATATACTGATAGGGAGTGCCATCTACTGGATACAGTTAGGTGTAGCATGTGGTACAAGTTCATAGACAATGGGACTAGCTTTAATTTTAAATTTTCACGTGTTCATTTTTTAACCTTAAATTTGGTAGGTTTAGTTGTATAATTACAAAATAGGCTTATATAGAGTCTTGTATTCATCTGATTGATTTTATTATAGGCTCATGGTTTGATACACGTGTCTATTATGTCAACTGATCCCATTAGGCTCCCACCTCTGTATCCTTCCAATGCTTGCTTCTAGTTCCTTTTGGTTCCTCTGCTGCACTCTTCCTTTGCTGCAAATCCTACACTGACTCCTTTTGTTTCTCTTTTGCTACTTGCCAGACTCTGCAGACTGGTGAAACAGGATGGAAGTTGATCAGAAAAAAAAGTTGCAACTCATGACAAAAGCAAGTGAAAAAGCAGAAGAGACAAAAGGAGGGAAAAACAAAGTTGAGGAAAGTAAAACAAGAATGGAGGAAGGAGGAAGGAGGGAGAGAGTGAGTGAGAGTGCCTGCATTTACTTATCCAAATAAAGTTTACCACCATTTTAGTTGAAAATTAATGTAAATTATACCAAAAGTGAGACTCTTCTGCACCACTGGAAAACTTCAACAATATTGTTCTTACTATTTAAAAAGGAATTGTACAGATTGTAAGCAACTGCTACAAATTGCTGAATCTTGCAAATGTTACTAACACCACAGTTCTGCTGTGCCAGAATATTTCAGTCCACCATGCCTGTGCCATGGGCCCAATGTATCCAATTTAAAAAAAGGTAGCAGAGTTTTCTTCTTGGTCAAAGAATTATGCCTAAACATAGAACAAATAGACTTCCCTGTCACCTGTCTGTGGCTGTGCTCGCATATTGATTCGGGCTGATGCACCAACAGAGTTAATCAGGAATATAAACTGTTGCAGACACCATCATTTAGATGCAATATTAAACAAAGCCCTAGTTGCTTCTCAAGCGTACACGATAGCTCCCATTTCACTGTATTGAAGAATAGCAGAGGAATTGTCACCAGTTTCCTGGCAAGTTTTTCCTTTCTCAACCAACAAAACAGATGACTGACATTCCTGTTGTTGCACTTTGTTGTTATGTCAGAAACATAACTGTTAGCTGTGGATAGCAATGCCTAGACTTAAGATACATCTAGAGCGGTCCAAATTCTTTTTGAGATTAGATTCTGTAGTAAATGTCTCCTTCTTTCTTTATAGAAGCCATTATTTCTATGGTATATAGGCCATTTGTCTCAAAAATTAAACATGTCTTGGTGCCCACCATACCCCACCCCCACAGGTTTGTCAAACACAATCAGGCTGCTACCAGCTGTACATACAAGCCTCAAAGTTATGTCTACTATTAACTGTGATTCTGGTATTGGAAATCATGTTTTAAAACAAGTTCGGACTGCACTCAGCATTACACCAGAAACCAATGTTAGATCATTAGGCAGGCCTACAGTGCATGTAGCATATGCAAAATACATAAATACTCAAGTCCCTGGTTTATGTTGGCAAAAGGAATTTCTATGTTGCACCTTTTTCAAAAACAGTGATCATAGAGACAGCCAATTCTGCTGTACTGCTCCAGGGCAATTTTCTGACCATTTAGAATCTACCTGCCTGGTTGTGAATGAAGGTTGACTGATTGATTTATTGTCACATGTACTGAGGTACAGTGAAAAGCTTTGTTTACAAGTAGTACAGGCAGATTATAGTAAGCAAGGATGTACAGATCAAAAAGACTTGGAGGCATACAGGTTACAGTGCACAAGGCACGCATTAGGCAAGATCAGCATTATTAGAGACTCTCATCAACTCTCTAGCCTCCAATAATGCTAGTGAACTTGATGCATCTCCATGCCAATTATGACTCAACCAATCCACATACTCTTCTCTCTGTATAAAATTGTGTCTTTTTCATAATATTTATTTCTTGTCTTTAGTTCTCATGAGTGCAAGATGAAAAGCTTCAACTTCTAGTCTCCTTTTAGCAATGTTTAGTTTTATTTTCTTTAGATTGTTTTTCTATTTACCTTTTCTTGCTGCAGAGACTTTAGGAATGCTGAACCAGAGGTAGAAACAACTCTGAACAGACCAGGTCCCAGTTTCAATCAACTCAAATCTAACACACTAACCATGCAGATTTGACTTAAAACAACTTTTTTAAAAAAAAACTGATTACTATACAAAAACAAAATCAGTTCATCAATTGAGCAAGTTGGGGTCCTTAACCAGTAGGACAGAACAGAAAGGCATCAATAACTAATTGAGTTCAGTGGGTCATTATTAGTGAAGCAAACAGGCAGTAAAACAAAAGGTAAATTTGAATTGTGAAGTCAATTTGAATCTCTAACAAATCAATAATGAAGGCAGGCCAGACCATGAATTGAATGAGGGATTCACCACACGTGTGCCAGCAGATTTTATTTCTAGCCTTTGTCACCTGAATGCACATAATTTCAGTAAAAATTGTTTCAGTGCTCATTTACAAAGGTTTCCTTACAAGTAAATAAGTACTGTACAAGAACAACCATCAAATTAAAATGGTACAGGCACAGTCTGTTAAAGGTATTTGTAGAAGAAACATTACTCCAGATGATAATTTTGAATTGAGCTCTGCCCACTGGACACAATCATGATCTCAACATCTAGTGCAAACAAATAAAAAAAATATGCAGGCTCAAAATGTTAACCCTTTGAAGAAGAGACAAATCCATAATTATATTAAAGATATCTGCATTTAAAAAGTAAGCTGATTTAGGTAACAGACATCGAATAACTTTTTGCTTAAACACATTTTAATAAGGCGCACAGCAAGTGCATTTAGAAAGAAAAAACTAATGCAAGGCTATTTTCATAATAAACATGAATCTGACAGAGGTATTAGACAAAAACACATCAGTATAGATTGCGCACACTGCCTGTCTTGTTAACAAACTAGGCCTTCGGTTCATTAGGAGGAGGAATCTTCACATCAGAAGGCTCCACCCCCCAGATCTCTCTGGCATACTCCTTGATGGTTCTATCACTTGAGAACTTGCCAGAGTTTGCAATGTTTTTAATAACCACCTTGGTCCAATCCTTTGGATTCTGTGAACAGACAAAGAACACTACTTACTGATTTGCAACATATACCCAGAAAATCCACTTGTTATAATATGGCACTGACACATGCACACAAACTGAATTGGGCACAGCTTGGCCAGATACACAAGCTGGGAACTGGAATGGCCATGACCTGCACATTCAGGTGACACAAACAGATGCAAACAGGAACAAGGATGACATTAATAAACAGATAGGAACAGCACGACACCAACACACATGTAGACAAGAACAGGCACTAACCCAAAAGAGAGAAAAAAGGACCAGATACCCCAAAAAACTCTCAGACAAGAATAGGTACCAGACTGAAACATTAAAAGTGGGATACATATACAACTTGTACATTATAGTTATTTACAGATAATTTACTATTTACACAATTCCGATCAACACTTTCATGTTGACTTTTAACAATCTTGTTTTGTGTACTGGTCTGCAGAAAAGTAATCAGGCTCCAGATGTGATTGGTTGTGTGAAGCTTGCCACTACTTTAAAAGGTTCTTGATTTCCTTCTATTTATTGACCAAAGTTTCAAACTTCAGAAAAAATTCTTGTTTTTGGTGACTACTCAGTGAAAAGAAATATTGCATACAGGATTTAATCATCTTTTAACATTGATCAGTACCCTAGAATGATCAATATCAGTATTCCAAACCAAAACACATCTGACAGTATTCTATGAAACACACACCAGCATCCCATCTTGTGTACTAGTGGTTTCCTTCACTGAATCCAATTCCTCCTCAACTTGTCAATGCCCCAGAGTTATCTAACAATTATTAGGACTGGCTCTATTGTATTTGCTGCAGTTTTAGATCATGTAAAACAGAACTCAGTTGAAAATGTTACCTGATTGGAGTGAAGGAAATGTAAACAAAGTCACCTAACTCCACAATGCAAAATTCATGTTTTATATTTCCCCAGAGATAATCAGGATATTGAGGAAAAAAAGAAGTGAAATAGGAAGTGAATTCAAATCCAGCATTGACTGATGAAAAATCACCTCTGTTGGTCAATCACCAAGGTCTTATATAAAATTAATTCGTGGCATTTCAATTCTGGTCATAGACTGAACCTGTGAAAGTGTTTGATATTCCAACACTAATAATTCTTTCTGCAATAAGCATGAAACTCTGATTACTGCAAATCAAATAACCAATCCTCAACCATTCAACTCACTTCTCTGTAGACCTCATTAGTTGCTTGGTTAAGAGGATTCTATTTCTCCCATTCTCTCTGCTTTATAAATTCCTCTGACTGCCCTATCTTTAATCTTTCTTTTCCACTGTCTGACATGTTCACATTTAGTTAACTATGTCAACGTGCCTTTATGCTGCCACAGCAACATCTGTAATACTGGACCCTAATCCTCTTTTCTGCCTAAGGTAATACTGGCGGTGAATAACTACAGAATGTCCTTCAATAAACCAGCCATTAACATTTATAGCAGCTCTGCTGGACTGGTCAAACCACATAATAGATTATAAAGGCTTTAGATGACACAAGATTGGAAACGTTGTAACTACTGTATTACTAGCGAATGATTGATGAACCAGGTTACCAATGGGGGAGGCATGGGGCACAAACAGAGGAGGTCAAGTGATGCAATCCCCTGCAATATAGACCAGAGTAGGTAAGGTGGTTCATTAAGTGTATTTGGAAACATCATTAACACAGCAAGATCTACTGTAACCTCACCTGATAAAGCTTACTAACTTTCTCCTGGCATTTGACATATGCTTCGAAGTCAGCAAACACTTTAAACCTGAAAGGGATGAAAGTCAAGATTACGCGCAGAACACAATCCTGCAAAAACTGAACCAAAGAGAAGCAGCAGATTAAATACATCAGTACTTAAATGAAGTCAGATTAATTGGAACAAATAATTCAGCTTGTGAATGTATGGTCCAATTTTTCAAATGAGTTTTGTTTCAGGAAGTGCCAAAAAATCTTTTGAATACTCGATTTTTTTGAAACCTCAACTATATTAATATTTGATGGATGAACACAAAGTTTGGAGACAGATTTGGGTAAATCATAACTGGAATGGAAACAGAATTTGTTGATGTTAGGAATTCCATAGTGAGCTGAAGGCGGTCTTTCATGTCAAATACAAATCAGTGGAACTGCAGAACCTAAAGCAAGTATGCAGGTTAAATATTTAGATATCTAATATTTGGGTTCATTGTCATTAGTATCTCTGGGGCTCTCATTAAGCTGAGTAAATAATTTCATGGCAGGAAGGACGTGTTCAAGGCAAACGGGTTGCAGTTGAACAGAGTTAGTACCAATGTCCTTGTGGGTAGGTTAAACCACTGCTCTGATGGGAGGATTTAAAATCACATGTAGGGGAGGATGGGCATAAGTATACAGCATTAAAAAGTAGAAACAAGATATACAGACGATGGGAGAGAGTAATAAGAAAGAATCAGGTAGGACGATAGAAAATACAAAGGACTCTAACATTTGGAATGCACATACTGGTGTTAATTGCGATTTGGCTTATAATCGTGGAGGATTTGATGCTAAACATTTTTGGGTACAAGCCAGAGGAATGGCAGGGATGTAGGAAAAAGTAGGGGTGCTGCCTTGTACCTCTAGTTGTGGTCAATAAAGTGTTACCAAAGAGAGCATTAGTTGCCTTTGCTGTACCTTGAGGGGAACTACAGTTTACCTACCAGCAGTATTAAAAAAGGTCATTCACCACATCTCTTGTTCAATATTCCTTAGGCAGTTTTACATATTACACTTCTTGAGGTATTTTACAAGTCACCAAAACAGTGGAAATGAGATAAGAAAGCAGGTATACAAAGAAATTACTGAGGTTTAAAAATATGGAGGAGTTATGTGTAGAAGGACTGTAGACTAAAAATACTTAACTGAAGGAAGGGAAAGTGATTGAGGGATCTAGTCTGGGTAAACTGGAGTCAAAGTCTACCAGGCAGAAATGTAATGGAGAAAATGGACAGCTTTTGAAGAGGAAATAGTTTGGGTGCAGTATAATACGTCCCGAAGGGGGTAAATGGAGGGCAACTAAAACCTGATCTTCCTGGATTAGTTTGGGAGTTGGATGAATCAGCAATGACACAAATAATAAATAGCAGTTCATCAAGAGAAGAACAAAAACGAGTTGTATATAAAAAGTGTACAAAGTAGAAGTGAAATAAGAGGGGCAAAAATACAAAAGTTGAATAGTTTGGCAGCTAACGTGAAAAGGAATCCACAATTTAATGATACAGGGTAGGCCATGTAGAACTGACACGAGAAATTTCTTCACCCAGAGAGTGGAATTCTCTGCCACAAAGCAGTGGAGGCCAAACTATTAAATGTTTTCAAGAAGTTAGATATAGTTCTTACAGCTAAAGGGAACAGTGGGTATGGAGAGAAAGCAGGAACGGGCTACTGAGTTGGATGATCAGCCACGATTATACTGAATGGAGAAGCAGGATCAAAGATCAAATGGTCTACACCTGCTCCTATTTTCTATGTTTGCATAAAGGATATCAGGGAAGCCATTGGGTTTTTGTGATTGTTTTATCAACACTTTACCAGATCTTTTAAAACTCAAATTGCCAAGGTTGGTTTTGAACTTGTTTTTTTGATTACTCATCCAATACAGCTCCCATCTGTGTCAATGGGTAATCCATCAGTGGGGGTATCTATCCGAAGTTACCTGTCATGGTGCATCAACATGTTAACTATGTCTTTAAACAGCTCTGGTTCTTTAGGGGAGAAATATCCACCATTGATCTGATCCATAGCTTGTCTCAGTTCTGGCAGCTTTTCGAAGTATTCTCTGGCATTGTACCTGCACGGAATGCAAAATCAAAGTGTAATTTGTACATAAGTTTTTTTTGTTCATTCATGGGATGTGGGTGTCACTGGCTAGCTAGCATTTATTGCTTGTCCCTAGGTACCCTTGAGAAGGTACTGAGAGCATTTGTCTTGAATGCTGCAGTCCACGTGCTGCAGGTAGACCCATAACGACCAGAGGGAGGAAATTGTAGTCATCCATAGGAATAATTACGGAATTTTAAAAACAAAAAAGTGGCTATTTGATGTATCAAGTTTGATTGTTCTTCATGGCTGATCTGCATTTCAAATTCATTTACTTATCTATGCATAAAAGGATGCAGATAAACCACTTCCTGGCCTGTCACAAGCTCAGTCTGTTAAGGGGCCATTTAAAGTTTTTAGATGCTCACTTACATCGCTTAAAAAATACACAGCATGAATGATTGGAGCAATGCTTCTTCCCGCGTTGTACAGGAGAAACACTGAGGCGATAAGATTTAGTCAGCGCTGTTAGGAACTTTAGTTTCAAACAATATACAATTCACAATTGCTTTCACTGTGTAAAATGATAATAGATAATAGATAGATAAACTGAGAAATGTGTTGATAAAAAATTTGCTTCATTTCTGGAGCACCTTTCACAATTTCAGGATTTTCCAATGTGTTTTACAAACATTGAAGCACTTTTGAAATAACATCAGTTGTAACACTGGAAAAGAAGTCAATTTGTGCACAGGAAAGTTCCACTAACGGCAACATGATCATGACTGGATGATCCATTTTAATGGTGTTAATTGAGGGATAAATGTTGGCTAAGGCACTTGGGAAAAGCTCCCTTAAACTCTATTTCTGCAGATGGATCTGCAAAGATAGATGGGGCTTTTGTCTAATGTCCAATCTAAATGATGGCACGTCTGGCATGGCAATATAGCACACTGAAATGGAATGCAAGCCTGGATTTTGTGCTCGAGTCTCCGTAGTGGAACTATGATCTCTTTAATGAATATCAGCTAAAGGGTGCAGTGCAGCTGTTAATTTATTACCAACCCCTTCTTATCAAGTGCCTCAACATCTTCCACTCTCATCCCAAAGATGAAGAGGTTCTCCTCTCCTGCCTCTTCAGCCATTTCTACATTAGCACCATCCATGGTTCCAATTGTCAAGGCTCCATTCAGCATAAACTTCATGTTCCCCGTGCCGGAGGCTTCTGTACCAGCCGTTGAAATCTGTTCGGACAAGTCGGATGCAGGTATCACTGTTATGAGACATGAAGGGAGAGGGAGATGAAAGCAACAGCTTAGCACTATTGTTTTAAAACTTCGCAATGCTTTGTTTCTCCTTTTCTAGGTTGATCTTTTCAAATTGTAACTTCTCCCTACAATACAAACTTTGATTTATATAGCATCTTTAAATGTACTAAAGTGCTTTTAACTCCTACACATGACTACAGCTGGACAAAAATGGATAAGACATAGAAGGTGGTGTTGCAGCATGTTACAAAAACCTGATGTATAGGTAGGCTCTGAGGAGGTTATTAAAGGGAGGAGATCAAGGCGGAGATTTAGTAAGGGAATTCCAGACCTCTAAACTGAAGGCACAGCTGCCACAGTACAGCAATTTGGAAGAATGTGAAGATATCACTTTTTGGGTGGCGAGGCAAATGAACTAAGAGGGAGATTAGTGAATGGGACTTGGTGCAACTAGTTGCAGAGTTTCAATGCAAAATCAACAGTCCTCTATGCTAAAGGGCGTCCTTTTACCATTCTGCTGTATCCTTATCCAAAGAGCATTATTACCTGTCTCTCACATTTGAATTTTTTGACCATCAGTTCAGCAGATTCCAGTCTGTATGCAGTTTGCCATGTGACCTTATTGCTGGATATCCTCAGCAAATGTTATACACCCATCAGAAGTTATGTAAAATGCATTTTACTGCACCCCACTACAGTGGAATCAATCTCTCATAAATTAGGGGGAGGGCATATTAAGGGCCACAAGAATGGTGATGAAATTATGCAACTTATTTCTGAAGTCCAATTCAACACTTACAGAAATGCCAATTCCTCTCAGTAGTTGTTTTGTCACACCATATTTAAAAAAAAAACTTATGTTTATGCAGCATCATTGACATCCTCACAATGTAAAAAAAACTCAACAAATGAAGTATTTTAGCATGTCTGGTCACTGTTCACTGTAGGAAGACAACAGCCAATTTGAGTAATGATGCACTTTAGAAAAAGTTAATCCTCATTTAATAATTTATTGTCCGTTTCCATTTGTCCCAACAATATTGCAACACAGCTTTCAGCTGTTTAATAAAACTGACTGGCTTGTTAGGTTACTCAAGAGGGCAATGTAGAGTCAACCACATTGGTATAGAATTGGAGTTACAAATATGCCAAAGGATAACCAAATGTTTACCCTAAAACCAATTAGGATTTCTAACAACTTCATGGCCATTTTAAGTGATAACAGCTTTTTATTTACATTTCTTTTAAAACTGCATTTAATTCTCATACTGTCATTAGGAATCTGAATTTGGGTTCTTCTGATCACTAATCCAGGCTTCTGTTTGGATGATTAGCTTCCTGTACCTGTACACATTGCTGCAACTGTGCCAGTAATGGAGTTGGTGGGTTAACATTATCTTTTCACAGAAGAGACCAAAGAAGCCTTTATATAGTACTTTTCCATTGGAGATTAAATAGATGGAGCACAGTTCACAAAAGGATAGCTTGTATTTAGTCTGCGAAAAGTACACACTTAGAATACCAAAGAATTTTTGAAAAGTAAAGTATGAACTTGTACAGAACTTAAGCATTGCTGAAAATATGCAATGTTTGAAAGCTTTATCTTGCACTCATCAGAACAGTTCTTAAGAAATACCAACGTAAAAGGAAAGCAACATTTACATTGTATGAGAGGAGAACACTGATGAGTTGGAAAATAGACTCCTCTGGTGGGCAGTCTGTACAGTGGGGAATAACCTTAAAAGTAGAGCTAGGCTACTGAAGGGTAATGTCAGGGAGCAATTCTGGAAAATCTTCCCCATTAACTCCAAAAGATGTTGAGGCTAGATCAGTTTGAAGTGTCAAAAATGAGATTGATAAGACTATGCATTAGAGGGCTAAAACAGGTAGATGGTAGTAAAATCAGTGATCCAATTAAATGGTAGAGTAAATTTTAGCCGCTAAGTGACCCATTCTTGTTTTACATTGTGCTTCTGCTAGATTAAGTAAATTTAAAGCCAAACATTTTTGAAAACCTGGCTTTTCAGAAGCACTTGTCATGGTTATTATTTTCTCTCCGGCCATAATCGACCAACTTAAAATATGCACAAGAGGGTTAGATTCCTGTGGCCCTGGCTTCAGTTACCTTTCTCTGCAAGGGACACACGGTAGTTCTCCAGGAAGATGACCTTCAGTCTGTCACCCACAATGGGATCATTGTTGACGACATTTCCAACGGATGTTACTAGTTTAATGATCATCTTGGCCATGTGGTAGCCAGGAGCTGCCTGTAAATGATCAGGGAAGAATAGGATGAACAGGTAGTATGGCCTAACATACAGATAGTATAGTACCAGAGACAACCAGTAGCCTCACCAGCAAAGTAGATACATGAAAATAAATAGATTAGCTGGTGAGCGGTCAGGAAATAACGTGGTTACATAAAATATGTTCAGACAGAGACCTGTGTACAGGTTCAATTTATATCTTGTATTTTGAGTGTTAAGGACGAGATAAGATTTAGTGTAATTTGAGTGTTTTTGTGGCTTGGTGCCAAGAATAATGAAAATCTGTTTTGTTTACATGCATTTTAAAATACATTTTAAAACATTGAGGTGAAGACTTTCATGTACTTAAGAAAAAAGAAGTGTTACTTAGCAACAGGCAGCCAATGACAGAGAAATACAGAACAATCCAATATCAGTCAGTAAGCATGATGCAAACCAATGCATGAAGGTCTTTTCGACACTGGTTCTAGGAAATGCATGCAGTTATTCTGAAGTCAAAATCATAATGAGTTTAGTTGGCAGTTTGTGTGTTTCAAGGAGAGAAATCAGATGAAGGGAATAAGTGTCTAGTAACTACATGGAACTTTGTTGAAAGGAAACCAACTGCAGCTGTACCAGCTCAAGTCAGAGCAAATAAGCTCAGAGTGGAGATAGTAACAACTTCACTTAGCTTTCAGAAAATACCACCATGTCAATTTTGGAGTTTCACATAGAATTTCTCTCCATGAGCCCTGGCCAAGATTTCTCTCACTTTATTCTAAAACACTCAGTGTCTAGGAACCGTGGCATTCTTCTGGTCATATCTTCACTCTTGCCACAGGCAGAAGCAGCCACTATTACAGGTATATCACAGGATTCCTGGCACCAAGGCCATATTTAAAACATAGTTGTGTACCAGACTAAGCACTGTCAGTCTTCAAGACAATTCTTTGGTCTCAGGAATTTTCTTCGATGTCGTGGACAGAGGAAATTGGCACGCCACTTTGCCAACAGGGACCTTGAGGTCTTGAAAGATGAGGAAGTGCAGAGGAGGGCTGTCCACTTCCCTCAGGATCAGCAGAGGAGATCATATCCCCATCACAGGCCCCACCACAGACGCGTCAGAGGTTGATAATTGGGTCATTGTGGTGTTACCATATGTTCCTTTGGAGCATCAATGTCACAAGGTGGTCAATTACATTTGTAGAATGGGGAATGTCAAGTGTTACCTCACACTCACTCTAATTCTGCTACTGCAATCACTGCCCACTAACAGTCACGATCCACTACTCATTCTACTGCTCACAACATCTTCCTTCACTTGCTCTCACCCACCCAATTCCCCACGCTGCCAACCTGGTGTGTCCTTTGCACTACCTACGAGAGACTTCACCACTTGTTCCTCACCTGCACCAGCAGCTGTGCTCATCACCTTCATCGCACTTACTCCCAGTCCCATCTCATTCCAGGAGACAACGGCCCATGATAAAGCAGAAAGAAAGAAGACGGGAGATGGGGTGCTCAATGTTCAGTTCCTCACACCCTACAAGGAGAGAATCTTGGCCCTAGCTGGTGAGGACCACAACTGTTCCTGTTGTGATGCCACAACCTCCAGTCACAGCAACCAAGAATCACTGTTCATGGCCGTGCTGCTCTACTATGACGATCACTGTGAATGTACTCTTAACATTACCGAACATCTGCCCATTTTTTGAGACCTTCTCCTCTCCTCTGTTTCCTGCAGATACCAATAGAAACCGAATTGTTTGCATGGTCAAGAGGGTGGCTCTACAAGGTATCTTCTCCTCCACCACAGAGGAAAGTTGTATCATCATAGCCTTACCATACCATAGGGCTGATGTCTCATTAGAGGGAGATGACTAGTAATGATTTAATCTGAGGGCCACCGTACCTCAAGTGAGGGGAGAGGTTGAGAAGGAGAGTCCTTTATGATAACCTCAGGAATTGAACCCATGCTGTTGGCATTACACTGCTTCATAAATCAACCATCCAGCCAATGGAGTAAGACCGATCCCCAGAGTTAGCAAAGACTAAACAGGGACTCTATTCACTGGAGTTTAGACGATTGAGATGTGACCTCATTGAAACATATGGGATTGTTAAAGGACTTGACAGGGTAAGAAGAGATTAAGGAAACGAGCAGGAAAAACAGTAGAAGCCCAAATTCATTCATAATCATACTGAACAAAGGAGTAGCCTCGACAGGAGCGGTCTTCTCCTGCTCCTATTTCTAATGTTGACTGACAGTTGCACCATGGAGCACAAAACTGCAGATCCCACTCAGGATATCAACACTTATGCTTCATCAATGCTGTTATGTTGTCTCTCAATCAGCCAGCCCAGACAGTGCAATTAGAAGCTAGGCTTTCTAGGTGCACAAGTCCATCCTGCAAGGCTTTCATTTACCCACTGAAAGTCAGCAGCCTTCCAGCAGCCACAGTGGAACTACAGGGCAAGCACTACTCAAGGAAGAAGGATAGCCAACGACACTTGAAAGGCAGGAACTATGGAAACATTTATGTTAATAGATGATTGATTAGTAGATTGTATAAAGATATTATTGGGAAAAAACGTGTATAGCTATTCCAGCATTTTTGTCACAAAAAGGTATGATGAGATGTTGTAGATGAGCGGGAAGGTGGGGACTATTGAAGCAAAGGTGCTGAGGGGATGACAAACCAAACAGACAGCTTAAAAATACAGGGTCTTCCATTAAGACACAGAAATAAGTAGAAATGGTTTCTCTTAGACGGCAATTAGTCTTTGGGATTCTCTTCCATAGACAGCAGCTGTGTCACTAAATATATTCATAGTCAAATTAGACAGAGTTTTGACTGACAAAGGATTAAGACAGGCAGGAAAGTAGAGTTAAGGTCATATTCAGGTTAATCATGATCTTATTTAATTGCAGAGTAGCTTAATTAGCCAAATAGCAGATGTCTGCTCCAATTTCTCAAGACAGCATAAATCATATAAAATTTGACACGGAGCACTATTAATAGATGTTAGGAGTGATGACGAAAAGCTTGTCACAGAACTAGATTAGAAGTGAAAATATTTAGTAAGTGAATTCCAAAGATTAGAATCTACACAGTTGAATACATAAGGTGGGATGATGGATATAGGGTGGGCAACAGGTCAGAATTGGAAGCACGCAGATATCTTAGCAAGTAGTAGGGCTTGAGAAATTTGCAAAAATAATGATATTCAAAGCCATGGAAAGATTTGAGAATTTTAAATCAATGTATTACCTCATCTCACCGTGTTTCTGAAAGCTCAGACTAAGCTCTTCATTCAGGCAACTATAAATACAATCTTCCACCAAACAGATGGTCTCTAAACTGACTGACTGCTGAAATGAGATAACACACAGTGTGGAGCTGGAGGAACACAGCAGGCCAGGCAGCAGAGGAGCAGGAAAGCTGACGTTTCGGGTTGGGACCCTTCTTCAAAAAGGGTCCCGACGCGAAACGTCAGCTTTCCTGCTCCTCTGATGCTGCCTGGCTGCTGTGTTATCTCTGACTCCAGCATTGGCAGTTCTTACTACCCGAGTGTTGAAATGAAATGCATTTGTACTCTATTACTTTTCCTTACCTTCCCTCCAATCAAGATTGTCCTTGGTACAAAGGCTTTGTTTGGATCTTTCTTGATACCTGAAAAACAGATGGGAGATCATTTCAAAATAAAACACTTGCTGTCACCTTGGATCTTGTGTTTATAATTGCTATACGAGCCTCAACCAGTGCCCTTGTCCAACAGATATAAGGCTCTTGCTCCCAGTATGGATGAGGACACAGACTACAAGGAGAACTTACCACAGCACCTTGGTCCAGAGTGCCACTCAAGTTGGGGAGTAAAGAGAACTGCAGTACTAATAGCAGATAGCATAATTAGGGGAATGGACACTGTTCTCCGCGAAGAGACAGAGTCCTGAAGGCTGTTTTATCTCACTGGTGCCAAAGTTCAGGACATGTCTGATGGGCCAGACAGGAATTTGGAATAGGAGGGGAAGGATCCACCAGCTATTGTCCATGTCAGTACCAATGACGCGAGTAAGAGCTAGGAAAAGGATTCCCGAAGGGATTACGAGTATCTTAGGCCTGAATTATAAAGCAGAACCACAAACGTAATAATCCCTGGGTTGCTACCAAGACAGCAAATCTGATTTCAGGGTAAATAAGATTTGAAGCGTAGGTGCACAGCTCAAATAATGGTGTAGGGAGAAACAGTTTCCAATTCATGGGGCACTGACACTTGCATCAGGCAAAGGGAGAGGCGTTCCATTGAGAGGGGATTCATTTAAACCATGCTGGAACCACAGTCCTGGCAAATTACAGAGTCATACAGCATGGAAATAGACCTTTCGGTCCAACAATGCCACACCGACCATGTTCTCAAATTAACATAGTTCCACTTATTTGCATTTGGCCCACATTCCTCCAAAACTTTCTTATTCATGTACTTATCCAAATGTTTTTCAAATGTTGTAACTGTACCTGCATCCACCACTTCCTGTGGCAGTTCATTCCACATACAAACCACTCTGTGGGGGAAGAAAAGTTGCCCTGCATGTCCTTTTTAAATCTTTCACCTCTTGCCTTAAAAATATGTCCCCTAGTTTTGAACTCCCCCACCTTAGGGCAAAGACCTTTACCGTTCACCTTATCTATGCCTACCATGATTTTATAAACCTCTATAAAGGTCACCCCTCAACCTCCTATGCTCCAGTGAAAGAAGTTCCAGCCTATCTTTATAATTCAAACCCTCCATTCGCAGCAACATCCTGGTAAACCTTTTCAGAACTCTCTCCAATTTAATAATATCCTTCCAATAGCAGGGGGACCAGAACTGTACACAGTATTCCAAAATAGGCCTCATTAATGTCCTGTACAACATCAACATGAAGGCAAATGTGCTGAACACCTTAACCACCCTGTCTACGTGATGAAAATTTCAAAGAATTACATACTTGAACCCCTAGGTCTCTGTTCTACAACACTACTCAAGGACCTTCTATTAATTGTACAAGTCCTGCCCTTGTTCGTTTTATCAAAATGCAATGCCTTGCATTTATCCAAATGAAACTCCATCTGCCACTCCTTAGCCCACTGACCCAACTGATCAAGATTTCTTTGTAATTTTTGATAACGTTCTTCACTGTCCACTATACCACCGAACTTGGGTGTCATCCACAAACTTACTAACTGTGCCTCCTAAATTCTCATCCAAATCATTTATATAAATGACAAACAAAAGTGGACCTACTGCTGATTGCTGTGGAAAAAAAACAACCCTCACAAAACAACCAGTCACAAAAAACAACCCTCCACCGCCACCCCATCTCCTACCATCAAGTCAATTTTGAATTGAATTGGCAAACTCTCCGAATCCCAGGTGATCTAACTATACTAACTGGTCTACCACGTGGAACCTTGTCAAAGGCTTTAGTAAAGTCTATGTAAACAACATCTACTGCTCTGCTTTCATCAAGAGTCTTGGTTATATCCTCAAAAGACAACTGAATCTTAAATTTCTGAAACATGATTTTCCTCACACAAAGCAATGCTGACTATCCTTAAGTCAGTCCTGGCCTCTCCAAATGCACATAAATCCTATTTTTCAGAATAAACTCCAACAGCCTACCCACCACCAATGTCAGACTCACCGGTTTAAAGTTCCCAGGCTTCTCCTTTTGCTCTTAATGTACATGTAGAATCTCCTGAATCATATCTGCTAAGGCTATCTCATATTCCCTTTGTGCCCTCCTGATTTCCCTCTTAAAAATGCCCCTACACCCTTTATACTCTTCAAGAGATTAATTCAATCCCACTTGTCTATATCTAGTATAGATCTCTTTCTTATCCTTGATCAGAACCTCAATATCTTTATTCATCCAGTGTTCCCTACTCTTACCAGCCTTCCCTTCACTAACAGGAACATGATGTCTCTGACCGCTTGTTGTCACACTTTTGAAAGCCTCCCACTTGTCAGTCATCCCTTTACCTGTGAACAATCTACTCAACTTTTGAGAGTTCCTGTCTCAAACTATTGGAAGTTGCCTTACTCCAATTAAGAACTTTACATTTTTATGGAAGGCCTATCCTTTTCCATAATACTTGTCTGAAAGTGTTCCCCTACTAACACTTCAGTCACTTGCCCTGCATTTTTTCGCCCCCTCGAGAGGTCAAGTTTTGCTCCTTCCCTAGCAGCTACGTCTACATATTGATAAAGAAAACCCATCTTGAACAAATTTAACAAATTCATCACCATCCAAGCCTTCAACACTACAGCAGTCCCGATCAATGTTTCAAAAATTAAAATCCCCTCAAATTCTTACATAACCCAAGATCTCTTTACATATTTGCTCCTCAATTTCCCTCTGATTGGTGGAGGGTGGGGGCTGGGCAGAAAGAAGGGGTGTATTGGCACAATCCCATCAAGGTGATCATCCCTTTCTTATTTCTAAAGTTCTCCCATATAACTTCACTGGATGATCCTTCAAAAATATCCAAAGTACAGCAGTAACTATGCTCCTCAATCAAAAACGCCACTCCCCCTCCTCTCTTGCTTTCTTTTTTATCCTTCCTATAGCATCTAAAACCACGAACATTAAGCTGCCAGTCTTGTCCTTCCCTCAGCCAAGCTTCTGCAATAGTTATAACGTCCAAGTCCCATGGTCCCGTACATGCCTGGAGTTCATCAGCCTTACCTGCAAGATCCCTTGCACGGAGATAAATGCCGTTTAATTCTTCAGAGTTACCTCATTCTCTGACTTGGTCTTGTCTGCTTTTTCTAATTAACTACAGGTGTATAAGGCTCTGGTCAGACCACATTGTATTCATTCATTCATGAAATCTTGCCAATCCCTAATTATCCAGGGGGCAGTTAAGCATTTTGAATATTGAGGCATTTTGGGCCTTTATCTAAGGATGGAAATGCTGGCTTTGGAGGGGGTCCAGTGGAGGCTCACAAGAATGCCCTATGAATGAAGGGCTTGACTCTCGTCTGTACTCAATGGGGTTTGGAAGGATGGGTGGGAGGGGGGAATCTCTTTGAAACTTACAGAATACTACGAGGGCTGGACACAGTGAACGTGGAGAAGATGTTTCCACTATTAGGACAGACTAGGACCCGAGGGCACAACCTCAGGAGTGAAGGGATAACCCTTTATAAGGGAGAAGAGGAGAAATTTCTTCAGCCAGAGCGTGGTGAATCTGTGAAACTCATCACTACAGAAGGTTGTGGAGGCCAAGTCGTTGAATTTAAGACAAAGAGAGAGACAGAGTCTTGATTAGTATGGGGTCAATGATTACAGGGAGAAAGCAGGAGAATGGGGTTGAGAAATCCATCAGTCACAACTGAATGGTCGACTTTGGCTCCTATATCTTATGGTCTTGTAACTTAAGACTATGGGCCAAGTGCTAGAAACTGGTACTAGTGTACATTTAGAAAGTTTTGTTGATGCAGATTTAATGGGATGAAGGGTCTCTTCTGTATTGTATGATTCTACGATTCTATAGAGTTTATAATAGTCACAGAATAATGGGACACTCATTTAAAAACTGAGATGCAATGGAATTTCTTCTGAACGTAGTGACTATCTGGAATTCTCTATCCTAGAGTGTTGTGGAGGTTTGATCACGAAGTATTGAAGAGGAGACAGACAAATTTTTCATAGATCAGGAAGTTGCCGGATTGTGTTGAATGGTAAAGCAGGCTTGAGGGGCTGAATGACCTGTTTCTGCTACTATTTACTCTGTTGTTGTGCAGAATGAATTAGTTGTATTCCTTGCTGTGATGAAATAGTCTTTACATCATTATTCTGATAATAAAGGTAAACTCAATGTTGGGGCTGGTGAACTACAATTGAACTATCCTGAACTTTTAACGAGTCAAGAACCCAGAATTTCCTGCACCTTCCTTGGCTTCTTGCTTGTTATAAGTTCAGGGTATTTCAATGATAAATCACCAACCACAACACTGAGTTCAACTTTATATTGGAACACTGTTCTAAATTTCTCAAACAGGTGCTGGCAGTGGCAGTGTTTATTTGCACTGGAAGTAGGTTGGACTAGATTTCTGATTAGTCTGTTTTGAGAATAAGACACACCCAATGGTTTGTCTGGATTGTAAATTGATCGCACCTTCTATGGAGTAATTCAAGGTCTGTTAAATGTGTAATTTGATCCAGTCATTGTCAGCCAGGCTCCAAAGATCAGAGTTAACACATCTCCTTCAAAGCACACACACTAACGCTCACTACCGAGTTCAGTGCATATTCCATGTCTGTAATCAGCGTGCAGCAAACAAGACTTTCAGTTACTTAAATATAAGCAGAGTTTAAATTGAGCTCAAGTTTTCTTTTAAAGAAGGGGCTGACCCCAAAATACATAGGCGCCTTTTTATCTTGATAGCTGCATTCTGTTAGTCGCGTAAACAACATGCATGTTTAATGCAAAGTAGTAGTGTAAAATCGTTATCTTCAACCGTTGTTCAAATTTCTTCTCCTTTCAGGGTAATGAGGAAGACTGGACACCTTTCAGGGCCAAAAATGGAGGCCATAGACCGTTTCATGAATTTGTGCAATACACAATGAGAAATTATTTAAATCGGGGTAGCGATTATCACACTGCGTTGTTTTAATATGCCCTAGTTCAGCATCAGGTGTGCACAGTGTGCAGATGACTATACAGGTCAGTGGTATTTGAGTTTCAACGCTGGTGTGATGGGAGGTATGTGGGCCATGTGCCCCAATGCCTGACAGACCATATCAAAGAACACTACCTTTTGACTATTCCAAGTGGGCAGTGTTCCAGAATGCTCAACCAGCCTGTGCTTGCAAACCTCAGAATACCATGTCCAACATTAGATGTAGTTCAGCTATTGGTCAACATTTATGAAATAAACCACACTCTTGATTTCATTCTTACCAGTCTGATCTCAGCTAGAGAATCCACCCATTTCTGGAGAGTTATCTCTGGTGTCAAGTGTCTATTCTTAGCCCCTCTAATTTCTCTTTTACATACTGTTTCCAGATGATGTTGTTAGGTAACAACATCTGTTTCTAAATATATACTAACATCATCCCTTATCTCACCGCCTCATGCATCAGATTTTCTGTAGTAAATCAGCAAAAATGCTCTCCAATTAAATACTTGGAAGATTGAAGCCATGGTCTTCAGTTCCATGATAAATCCAACTCCCATGCCACTAATTCCATCCCTCTCCACAGCAATTATCTGCAACTATGTCAATTGTTTACATCTTTGGGTGTCATATGTGACTGAGAAGAGCTTTCTACTGTGTGTCTGGGCCATCACCAAGAAATCATGTTCTCACCTTTCTAGCATTGTTAGACTCTAGCCACCTCAGCACCTGTGCTATTGAAATCCTCAATAATGCCTTTACTACCTCCAGATTTGACTATACTAACACATTCCAGGCACCAACGTATATTCTAGAAATGAGTTCATTTAAAATCCTGTGCTTTCTCCTTACTTGTAATCAAATCTCAACATCATCCCTGTGCTTACGGAGCTATACCAATTCCCAGTTTAGCAGTGCCTTGACTTTAAAATGCTTCTCCTCATTTTCAACTCCCACCGTAGCCTGGCCTCTCCATTTTTGTGTAATCTCATCTAGCCCTATATCTACATCCCTCTAATCTGGCCTCTAGTTTTTTTGGTTTTGATTACTCCACTATCTGTGGTCATGCCTTCAATTGCCTTAGTTCTAAACTCTTTACAGTCCCTCTCAACCTTTCCACCTCTGTATATCACTTTCATCCTTTAAAGGTATGCTTCAACCATGCTCTTCGAGATTCAACATGATATTTCATTATGTGGATCAAAGTCATTTTTTACTTTATAATTTCACTGAAACATTATGGAACAATTTATTATGCTAAAAGCTGCCACATGCATGTGTCATTATTGTTTTTGCCCAAACACCCTTACTGCCTTCCTCTAAAAGGTCCTGATGTCGAGCCACAACCAACTCCAGGATCCCTGATTTTTGTTTCATCTTCAGAGACCCTCGTTTTTCTCACCCTTGGAATTTCATTAAACTTCGCCTGTCAAATTTTAGCCCATTCACCCAACTTATCCATATTCATTTGTAAATTTCTCACTTCTGCATTGCAACATACTTTCCCACCTATTTTAGTGTCATCTGCAAATGTGGCTACAGTACTATACTGAATCCAAGTCATTAATATAGATTGAGCCTAGTTGGAGTCCAAGGACCGATCCCTGTGACACCCCACTAGTTACATCCTGCCAACCAGAAAAAGACCCATTTAACCCAATTTTCTGCGTTCCATTAGTTAGCCAATCCTCTATTCAAGTTAATGAATTACCCCTAACCCTAAATGATCTCGTGTATTATTAACCTTTTGTGCAGCACCATATCAAATGCCTTCTGGAAGTCCAAATATACGATATTTGCAGGATCCCTATTATCCACATTGCTTTTTTACATCTTTAAAGAACTCTAGCAAATTAGTCAAACATGAGTTTACAAACATTAGTCACAAAACCATGCTATGGTTTGTATTTTGACTTTCCAAATGTCCTGTTAATACTTCCTTAAGAATGGATTCTACATTTCTCAACAACAGGCCTGTTTCCTGCTTTCTGCCTCCTTTCCAATCCACTGAAACGTTTCCTGCTTCCAGAGAATTTTGGAATGTTATAACCAATGGAACCGCTGTCTCCGTTACTATAAAGTTATAAAAAGAATTAAAGTAAATTTATGAAATGTTTAGTAGCCCTTTGCTGATCTTTAAAAGTTTTCCAATCTTTCAGCCTAAAACTTACCTTTGCAATATGGTATTTCATTGTTTTTGTCTTTATGCTACATTTAATTTCCTTGTTTAGCCATTAGATGTTCCCTCCAGAACTCTCATGGCTTAGGCACATTTATACAGTAGCTACAAAGGAGTTCAGAGGTTGGGAATTCTGTGGCGAGTAACTCAACTCCCAGCTTGCCAAAGCCTGTCCATTATTTACAAGGCACATGTCAGGAGTGCAACAGATTATATTTCACTTGCCGAGATGTTGCCTCCAGCAACATTCAAAAAGCTCAACAAGACAAAATAGCTACCTTAATCAGCACCTCACTCACCAGCTTAAACATTCAATTCTTCCACTAGCAGCACAATGATGGCAATGTGCACCATCTATGACTTGCAATTGACTAAGATACTTTGCAAGCACCTTATGTTAATAAGGCCAAGTGGAAAATGGAACTCTCATTTGATTTACCCTTTGCAGCATTAGACACTCAAGGTCAGGTACAGTACAGATCTTTACAGTGTGAGGCACTCCTCCTCTACCACAGTAATGTGCTTAGATTTTTAAAGAAATGGAATATGTGAACCATTGAGACACACCAGTTTTTGCACTAGCCATTCTTACTACCAAAGTCAGATTACCAAGTAGCCCCACTTACGCCCAATTTTACACCACAGTCCAATCCCAAAATTAAGTACACTCTTGATACATTTTCAACGTATTGAAGGATCAAACTCAAGACCTTTATAGTCACATGCACAATTCAAAAAAAGAGTCTTCTAATTGAGTGGACATATGCTATTTTCACAATGTAATACTCAAATTTTCTCCAAAATACCTACACACGTTAACGGTAGGTAACTGGCAGTAGCTGAGCAGCAAGGGGGAGAGGGAGAAGTATTTAATCAACCCAGTCAATCTAATGTACTGATATTGACCAATAGTGCATTATTGATATGATACAATATAAACGATTTACGGAATGAGACTTACGGTTGTATAGAGTGATAATATGTAAACAGTTCAGTAGCTGCCTTTTGTATTCATGGATCCGCTTCACATGGACATCAAAGATAGAGTTTGGATTTATTTTGACATTGTACTCTTTTTCCAAATAAGCAGCAAATTTTAATTTATTCTCCTGAAATAAAAAAATGAGCATCTTCTCAATGTAATGACGGCCAAAAGAGTTCATTAGTCTTTTACATTAACTGCATACTTAATGTTATAATAAGTTGTATTCTTGAAGTGTAATCACTGTTATAAATTGGTGATTGTATTTCCTGCATTATGATAAGGTCCAACAAACATTAATGTGATAATGACTAGAAAATGTGAGCAGATTACCTGCTCAAAAAGTGGTACGACACCCACATTGGAGATAGCAAAAACTGAAGGGTCCCAACCCGAAACAATGACTCTCCTACTCTTGATGCTGCCTAACCTGCTTTGTTCCTGCAGATCCACACAGTGTTGACTGAGATACCCACACTGACTCTTTGGAGGAAGGCCTGCTCTATCTTTTTCCAATCAGGCAGTTTAGAGAGCAGCATAGAGCCTCTGACCGAAAATCAGTCCCAGTGGAAAAAGTCCCTCGCGCTACTGGCCAATTACAGATTAGCAACACTCAGTTTGCAGTGCCAACAAGGCAGCCGTGGCCGCTGCTGCTGGAAGGACAATCGAGTTTGAAAGGTCTGATGTGTCAGCTGTGTCTTTTCTTGGATGGGGCCAGATTTCAAGGGCTGACTGGAAGCAAATACATTGAGGTACATTCCTGTATCCTACATCCACGCCCTCGATCATGCACAATGTAATGTGGGTTTCCCCAATCAGCATTTCCCCTTCATTGCTAACAAGCAGACCCACACTGGCTTACCAGCTGTTTGGGTGTCTTCTAGTTTTTCTACCTGGACCTTACAAAGAAATGCAACTTAGACAGGAATAGTATCCAAAGGTGGTTCTTAATTGACCAGTTAAAGGACTAAATTGGTAACGGATAACAAGGCATGCACCTTCCCATCTTTAACCCTACCACTTTGCCACCTGAACCAGAATTGAGTTATGGTACACCTCCATCCTGCTGAATTAAGTTGGGAGATGCCACTCTGTTTTAATGATTTAATCCAAATATTGGATAGGACATTTGAGTGAGCTCCTTCACTTCAAAACTGCACCATTGGATCTTTTACATCAGTCCTTCCAAAATGGTTTCCCATCATGACCCAATGTGGTGTTGAAAAGGTGTTGAGATCCTATGTCAGGGAGAATAGAGCAGGAAGTGGGTGGTCGAGGGCTCTGTGGAGTAGCAGAGGAGAAAGCGGTTTCATCCACGAGGGGTTTCCAAATAACAAGTACCCATCTTCCCATTAGGATTTGTAGGACAGAATTCAGGTCACACCTACTATTTTTAAAAAACTGAAAATTAAAGGGGCCTCACTGCAGTTAACACTTGGCCAGACCACAAATGGAACATCCTGCTGCACGAGCTTGGGAACTCAAAATTTTGACCGCTGATCTCACTGGGATTTGCAGCCCACAGGTTGGGAAGCCTTGTTTCACATCAACTTGACAGAACAGAAACAGCTTCATGTTTCATCTAACAGTGTTCCACTCAATCACAGGATTCAAACCTCTGGAAAGGACCTGAACCCAGAACATTCTGGCTCAGAGGAGAGTGTGCGGTCAAAGTCAGCCAACGGTGCAGTGATGTGGAAGTGCCGGTATTGGATAGGGGTTGACAAAGTAGTATCCATGTCGATGATCTAGCATATGTTGCAGCAGTTGCCATGGCAGCATTGTGTGGTGCTGTGGTCAATGTTGTTCCGAAGGCTGGGTAGTTTGCTGCAAACGATGGTCTGTTTCAGGTTTGGTGGTTGTTTGAACATGAGAGGTGGAGGCGTAGGGATGATCTGGGCAAGATGCTCATCGTCATCGATGATATGTTGAAGGCTGTGAAGAACATGGCGTAGTCTTTCTGCTCCGGGGAAGCACTGGACGACAAGGGGTACTCTATCAGTCATCTCCTGTGTCTGTCTTCTGAGGAGGTTGCTGCTGCATTTTTCACTGTGGAACTGGAGATCAACGAGTTTAGCATCGTATCCTGTTCTTATGACGGCATCCTTCAAAATCCTTATTTGAGCAGATTATGCGCCACCTTATTTTTTTTTTTGTAATTATCTCTCTGCCTCATTTATTTGGCAGATAGGTCATCCCTTCACTTGTTGTTCAGCTGCTGACACTTTACTCACACCATCTAACACTTCCGATCACCTGCAGGGACTTATTATTCAGCCCCCCACTCACACCATTTGTATGGTCTTTTCATCTCTCTGCCCTTGAACTCTCTCTGCCCACAAGTTCTGTATTCTGTGCACTTCTCTCTCACTTCACCTGACGAAGGTACTACGCTCCAAAAGCTTATGATTTCAAATAAACCTTTTGGACTATGACCTGGTGTTGAGAGACTTCTGGCAGGGGTGCAGTGATAGCCTTGAACCAACATTTGTTTATCCTTGAACCACACCACTAAAACAGAGAATGGTACCTTCCAATCCTGAAGGCTGGAAAACAATTTAGTAGAATGGATATACCAAATTTCTTCCACTTTCCGGTTTCAGTTTCTATACCAATCTCTACCACTGAATAGAACAGTCTCACCCCAGCTATGACATCTGCAAGGTTAGGATTGCAAAGCAACAGCAAACGTCTTGAAGTGATCTTATATTTCACGCAAAACAGGGTACAGTCTAAAAACAATAAACAGCTAATCTGATTTGTTAGTTGTACCTGCTTAACATTGGCCACATCTCTAATGAATGCTTCATTTTCAGCATAGGCCAGCAGTTTCTTCAACTGGTGTAGGTCTGTGATAAAACCCTCTCCAATTCTCTATGGGGAACAAAATTGTATTTAGCTAGTGAGAAAATATAAAGTAGGTTAAGTTGAAGCAGGGGTCTTTACAAAAGGCACAGTTCTTTATTTCATAACAACCTTCATTTGTACATTGCAGTTAACATAGGAAAACATTCAAAAGCCCTCAAATGAAATAGTGCTGTGGATTTTGTACATTCACTTGCAAGGGCAGAGGTGATCTCAGTTTAGTAGCTCAGGTAAAAATCAACACCTCCAACTCAGGATTGTACAGTACATAAGAGAACCTTCGGCCCGAAAATAACTCATTCTTAGCCAGCCGCCCCTCATAGCTAAACCGCTCGATTCCAGGCAACATCCTGATGAATATCCTTTGCATACCCTCCAGTGCAATCACATCCTTCCTATAGTGCAGTAACCAAAACTGCACACGACTCCAGCTGTGGCCTAACCAAGTTTTGTACAGCTGCTCTTATAATCTGCACCATAACTGATCAAGGCAACTGTCTCATATGCTGCCTTCATAACTGCATTAACCTGTCCTGTCACCTTCACAGATCCGTGAACAAGAACCCCAAGATCCTCCCATTCCTCTGAGCTTACTCATGTCCCGTCATTCATTGGAAGAATTAACAAGACGGGAGTAGTCAAATTGCATCATCTTACACTTATCAAGGCTAAATTCTATCTGCCATTGGAGCTGCCTAACTGACCAATCTGTCTATATTCTCCAGTAACCCAAGACCTTCTTCCTCACTGTCAACCAACCAGCCAACCACCATGTCATACACAAATCTACTCATCATCCCCTGCACGTTTTCTTTTATGTTTGTGTTATCTATTATAAACAATATAAAAGGACCCAGTGTTGATCCCTGTGGTACACCACTGGGCACCAGCCTCCAGTCACACAAATACCCTTCTACCACCACCACCCTCTATCGTTTACCATTAAGTTAATTTTGGATCCAAATTACCCTGCATCTTGTGCGCTTTTGCCTTCTTTATCAGTCTCTCATATGGGACTTTATTAAAGACTTTGCTGAAGTCCATATAAACTATAATCAACTGTACTACCCTAAACTACATACCTGCTCACCTTCTTGAAAAATTCAATTTATTAAGCAGGACCTACATCTGGCAAAGCCATGTTGACGGTCCCTGATAAAATCTTGCCTCTCCAAGTGGAGATTCATTCCCTTCTTCAGAATTTTCTCCAATAGCTTCCCTACCACTAATTTGAGATTCACTGGTCTATAATTCCCTGGTTTATCTCTATCATCCTTCCTGACAATTCATTGATTCTCCTGTGTGACCAGAGAGAAATTAAAAAATTGAGTCTGGGCCCCTGTAATTTCCTCCCTTGTCTCTCACAGTAGCCTGGAATGCAGTGCCTCAGTATTCAAGCAGTGAGATGTAATGACACAGAAGGCATTTCCCCAAAGCAATGTCAACAACTTGCAATTATGCATCATTTTTAATATAGTAAAACTATATAAAAAAAAAGTGCTTCACATGAGCATTATCAAAGGATTCAATAGGTTAGATGGAGGGACACTACCTTTTCTCGTGGAGAATCACAATATGGGAATACAGCCTAAATCATAAAGCTAGGTCATTGAAAAGTGATACTAATTCATTACAATCTTTGAATATGATAATGTGCAGTCACTGAAAATCCTTTCAGATCAACATGCAGTTAGAGTTTTAATCCCAATCTCTTCCAGTTAGTAGAACTTTCTCACCTCAGCTATGACATCTGCAAGGCCAGGATTGCATAGTAACAGCCAACGTCTTGGAGTAATCCCATTCGTCTTATTTTGGAACTTGTCTGGCTCAAGTTCATAAAAATCCTTGAAACTGGCAAAAGAAAACTGACATGAAGTTGTTTCACTTTCACATTTGCATGCTTGCTTGACTTTATGGTAGTTAGTTTGGGGGAGTGGAAGATGTAATAAAAACAAACTGCTTAAAAGGTAAAATGCACCCTATCACATATGCTGTTTTAATAGTTTTATTCAAAATAAGGGAAAAAAAAAGGATTTGCACTTATATAGCACCTCTCATATAGGTCATGAGTTCAGGGCAGCTCAAAGCACTTAATTGGCTGTGAAGTAATTTTAGAAGGGTAGACACTGTTGCAATGCAGGTCTGAAATTGTATTAAATTCAAGGCTAGAATTGTATCTAGACACTACTATTGCCTCTTCTGAAAACCTGCACTCTACTTAAAAAGTGTGGTGTTTTGTTTTCTCCATAATCATGCATAAACAAATATGAATGAGGACAATATGCAATGGTAAAAAAAAATGCCCAATTTACATTGCTGCATCTAATCTCTAAAACCTTGTTATTCCAAATTAAATTGTAATATCAAAAAAAAACAGTCCTTCAAGTAATTGTTTCATGTAACAACCTCATTCCTACAACTGTTTTTAAACAAACTATCAAAGAAAATCTGAGCTAGATTCTTCAATTTAACTGATCAATCATTCCACAAACATTTCATTTGTAAAAGATAATCACAACCTAACATAGATTGACACTATATTGTACCATTAAAGATTTGTAAAACTGCATTTATATAAAGGGCCACAACAGCCACAAAAATTGAAACAAAAAAAAAAAAGACACTCCATTAAATTTACAGAATGTTATAAATATGTATGTTTGACTGGTAAAAGTTTACTCCATAAAAGTAAATTTATGGATGTTATATAGAAAACACAATAAAAACAAGGATGATTTTTACTTAAATTTCTGCTGTATGTTTTGACTTTGAGTTCACATATACCCAATGCATTAGCTTTAAGTGCAATACAGTATTGTACCGAAGTTTTACTAATAGCTGATAAAATTACATGTTTTCTTTTACTTATAATACATATACATGATATATCCAGAAAGGCCTTTACTTTATCAAGGAAAAAGAAAACATTTTCTTTGTTCTTCTTCCCACCCCCCAAAACGCTGCAGGAAAATTTTCATCAAGCACCTCATCTACGTAACTGAGATAACAAGGTGTAGAGCTGGATGAACACAGCAGGCCAAGCAGCATCAGAGGAGCAG